GTTGCTTGTTAAGATCTGCTGCTGGATTGGGTTGGGCGAGAGCAAAACTTGTCAAGGATGACCCCGATAGACTGAAAAAAAAAAAATATATATATATAATAAAGGGACACAAACCCAACAGGCACTTTCTTCCCTGCCTGAATAGGGGATCGTGTCTGTCTTGGGCTCTGAGCTGCTGGGTCTGAAAAATTCAGGTGGGGCTAAGTTTGGTCCCTACCTGACGATAAGCATCATTTTCTGCAGATATTTTCTTGCCTAGGACAAATATTCATAAAGCAGGAGTGCCGCCAGGGCGATGGTTGGTTTCCAGTACGTTTTCTCTCTGTTTTTTTTCCCCAGTTCCCTTGAAAACTGATTTTTATTGAAAGCAGGAGCTGCCAGACAGTGTGTTCTCTGCCCTCGGTACTGATCAGAGGTGGAAAGTGGCTTTATTATAGTAAGATACTACAAAGCTCGACTAAGGAAGAAAAAAAAAAAATCCTCATTTTTTAGAGCAAAGAGTGGAGAAGCCATCCCTTACATACCATTGTAGGACTTCTATTCAAGCCAGCTGACTGAAACAGAGTTTCTGGTCCCCAAATGCTTGTGGGAGGTGAAGCCCCTCTGGAGCAGGAGACCAGGGGACGGTGGGGACAGTGGGTGGTCCACGGCGCTGCAGCCTGATGGGCGGACGCAGGGAGGGCTAATGGAGGTTGGGCAGGGGGTCTGGCAGCTTGTTTTCCTTTCACAACTTCATCTCCTCTTTATTCTTCTTCCTCTGTGTCCTTGAATTTCGGGGGTGGCCGTTACCTGTTATTTCTCTGGGAGCTACAAGCCGGGGTAGCCACGAAGCCGTGCGAGTGCTGCTTCTCACCTGGGCTGCTGGAAAGGGGAGAGATGTGCCAAAAAAAAAACCCAATCCACCCGGTTCTGGGGAATAAACCACAAGTTTTAAGGCATCTTCTGTTTTATTGCTTGATTTCAGCAAGTACAGATACCTGGCACACGGGCACGTGTAGCTCTTGTTCGTGGGCGTCAGCCGGTGGCGCTGGCGGGGGGCGGGTGGCCGTGGGGTTTCCATCCCTTTTCCCCTCAGGGTTGTGACGTCGACCTCGCAGTTTTGGTCTAACATATGCATGAAATACAGCACAGCTCCGTCGTGGATTATTCCGTGAACCCAGTTTACAGTCTCGCTTGCTTAGAGAGCTGGCTCCTTCGTCCTGCGTGTGGAGGAGATGGAGGGGAGGAGATGTTTATTCCTCGTGCCAAAATAGCTGCTAGTGAGCAGGACCGTTTTGGGGTGAATTTAGAAGGGAAAAAAAAAAAACAGGTGAACCTATGTAAATCTGGTTTCTTTAGCACTTGAAGCTGATGCTCAGTTGCCACGGGGGATTTTGTCCTGGGCCGGGCACTGAGATGGCTGGTGGGTACATGCAGGTAGGGAAGAGCAGGGGGGGGATGCAGAAAGATACAGCTCTGGGGTTATTTAAGGACAGCTCGCTATGGCAGGGCTAGCTGCACCACGCATTTAAGTATTTTTCCACAAACTGTGTGCCTGTAGTTACTGGTTATTATGATTTTTTTTTTTTTTTTAAATATAAAAAATTCCTACCAGCCCGCTGCAAAACAGGTTGGGTGAAATGTGGCTGCTGCCTTCGTCACCCAAGTCCTGCGCCCACATTTGTGTGCGTGCACTGAGATCAGTCCCCCGTCTCCCAGGTTTTGGGAAGAGTGATGAAAATGAAAATAAAGGGGGTTCCTGCCCCAAAGGAGCGGTGTTAGAGGAGGGTGGCCTTGAGCTCTGCTGCCCTGTCCTGCAAGGACCACGCGTGGTCCGTGCCCCAGCCTTGGGAACAGCACATCTGACCCTCATGACTGGGATGTGCATCCATCGCTCCGTCAGCGATGACCACACGGGGTCCAGCACTGCTTCAACCAGGCGGGGAATTATAAGAGCTATAAAAAAAATACACCCAGTAGGAATAGTAACCTCATTTTAAATGCCGAGTGGTGCTAATGAGCTGCTGGGAGACCTGCCAGGTGATGGGGGTGAAGCCTCGAGGACCATTTGGGTATCTCTGCATCAGCTCAGAAGTGGGAATATGCTGTAGCGTCCTGTTGGGGAGTGGCATTACGTGGCAGCTTGCCGTGGTCCTTCTCTTTGGGTGTCTCAGGAGGCGGGCGAGGGGCGTGGAGGGGGTGAGGCAGCACCCCGGGGCACCAGGGCTGCCCCGGCATCTCCGTGAGCGGAGGTGCAGGGGGACAGTGGCCCCGGTGGAGTTCAACTCGAGGCAGAAGCTTTTCCAGAGTTGCCGCCGGCACCGTGGCAAGGGGACCGCGTCCAGCCGCTGTGCTGGTTTCGTTTGGATGAGCTGATTCAGAACGTCCCGCGTCCCCTGGGCTGCTGGGCTTCGGTGACGAAGCAGGCCGAGCAAAATGAACCCCAAAAGGAGAGTGGCCTCTCCGTGGTCCAGCCTCTGGCATCCCGTGGGTGAGGAGGAGGATGGTTGCAGCAATGCTTTTGGCTTGCAGCTGAGCGGTGGCGTCTTGGGATAAGGCAGGCGAAGGTGCCACCCTTTCTGTTTTGGGGCTGGAAGGTGGTAGAAATAACTGGGCAGCACGTCAGGCTCTCTCTGCCAGCAGGGAGAGGCCGGTCCTGGGCTTCGCTTGGACTTTTGGAGCTGAGAAGGGCAACTCCCTGGAAAGCTTTCAGGTGCCGATGGTTTGAGACTCGCTGGCACTCGGGCTGGGATTTGCTGGGGCAAACCAGGCTCAGGAGAAGGATTTAGGCTGTTGGTGAGTAATGTAGGATCGTCGTTGCTGTGGTCCCCCTTGGGCCAGGTCCTCCTTACTGCCTGCGTGGGGTGGGGACGGCTTGGGGATTGCGTGGGGTGGGCCTGGGTGGGATGGGATGGGATGAATCTTGGTCCTTGCCTCGCAGGGATCTTACAGCTGCATGCCCAACCTTGAAATCCCTGGTGGCAGCTGAGGACAGGAGCAGCGACCGATTTCTTTCGGCGGGCAGAGCCATCTCTGCAGAGACACACAGCAAGGAGGGGGGGGCAGGTTGTGGACCAGGCAGGGTCCTTGGCTGTGGTGGAGGTGACCGTTCAGCAGGGATGGCTGTCCAGAGCAGGATCCGGCAGGGGCTGGCCTGGGGAGGCCGTCTGTCGAAACCCACGCAGGGTTTTACTGAGCACACCTCCTCGGTGGGATGCAAGCACAGGGCTTGTTGCCCATTGCTGACTGCACCGCTGGCCGTACCTGTTTGAGCAGCACTATGAGATCCGAGGCTCCTCGGTGGTTTCAGCTGCTTTGCCTGACTCGGGTCCTTCTCGTGGGACAAGCTGTGGGTTTTGTCTTGCCCTCGCAGCCCTCATCTCATGAAACATCCTTTCCCTGCTGTCCCTCTCTCGCTTGGAGCCTGCATTTTATCTGCTGTGTGGGGGGTGGACGCCCCAGATTGCTGCACGTATTCGCCAGCATCCTTATAGTCATGTTGCTCGTGCTGCACCCCAAATCCACGTTCCACAAGGCAGGTGACTGTCCATCACAGGGCTCTGGTCGTCCTGCACAACTAAATCAGGAGCAAGCAGGGCATGCTGCCACTGTAGAGGCAGAAGGATCGTGCCTGGTGCACGGCTCTCCCCACCCCTGGCTGCTTTGGGTCTGCATGAAAGCCAGCCTTCTGGTTCTCGATGCGCCCCACGTTCCCCCCCGTCCCTGGCCCCAAACTACCTGAGAAACTCTTTATCTGCCAAAATTATTTGCAGAGGCTCGGGGTGCAGCTGCGCAATGAGCAGCGAGTGCAGGGACCAGCCTCACTGCCTGGGCCACGGTTTGAAGGTCTCGGTTTTCCAGCTGTTGAAGACAACTGGTGGAATCGGGGTGCTGGGTGTTGATGGTTTGCGAGCGAGCAGAGCTCCTCCTGCTTCTTCCTTCAGGGCTTGGCCTGTGGGATTTGGCCCAAAGCCCTCGGGTGTTGCTTGGCCGTCAGCTGAGGCTGCTGGTGGCAGCCTGCACGTCCCCGTGTAGCGTTCAGACTGGTGGTACCGGTCCTTCCAAGCATCTTCCTTGAGCTCATCCCAGGGAAGGGCAAAGCTTTGTAAAACCAGCTTCCAGCTCCCCATCGTCTCCAAAAATCCAGCTGTGTGTGCATGCGTGGGGTGGCTGTGTCCGAAAACTCCTCCCTGATGTTGGGAGAGGTGGCCCAGCTCTTCTCTGATGAGAGCGTTAGAGCTGGACCAGGTGAGGACACGGGACGCTTGCTTTGGTCAGAGCTGATTGACTATGAGCAGGAGTGCGAATGCTGATCTGGGTAGACCAAGGACGAGTTCCTGGCTTGGCTGGGTCCTCCGTGGGCTTGGGTGCCTCAAAACTCCCCGCCGCCCAAGCATGTCTTCATGCAGCCAGGCTGGGGAGGCTTTTGGTGGCCGTTACCCCTTGGGAAGCCTTGGCACCGCTTCCCGTGCATCCGTGCTGGCGAGGTTGGGAGTGCAAGAAGGCAAGGCTGGGTGTGTTGGCCATCTCTAAGGGCAGGCCCCTGAGGAGACGTATTTAGGTTTCCGCACGGAAAGCAGTTCCCATGTTGCTGGGAAGTGGTGGGCATGATGCGCTTTTGGAAAGCGTGCCCTCAAGGGTGGTTGGCCGTGGTGGGTCTGGGGGGTCCTGTCCCCCGGTCCCTGGCCAGCCTGGGGCAGTGCGGTCAGGGGGGTGCGTGCGTCCCAGGCGCGCCTGTGCGGCCCTGACCCTGCAGAGGCTCGTTTCGGGAGGTTTCCTTGGAAACCCGACTGCCAGCCACGGGGAGGGGAGCGTTCCCCAGGCAGCTTCAGCCCCGGCGGGTGGTGACTGGTGCCCGGCTGGGAGAAATGGCTTTCCCTGGGGACGAGCTGCTCCAGCGCGGCGTGGGCAAGCGGGAGGCGTCGGCAAGCTCTCACCAGCTGCCGTCTGACTCCCCCAAAGCCTCTGCCCTCCTGCTGCGGCGTGCCTGCAGACCCTAACCCTGGGCTTTGTCTTTGCAGGAGCAGGAAGATCCAGATCCGAAACATCCCCCCCCACCTGCAGTGGGAGGTAAGAAGTGGACGATCCTAAAAACATCCCGTTCATCTCCTCCTCCTCCTCCGTCAGTCGTGCTGAGCAGCACAAGCTCCGCTGTTGGAGCACGTGGTCTGCACATGGGCCACCTTTTGCCTTCCCAGTAAGCCCAGGAAGGAGATGGAGCATGAACTGGTCTCCATTTCCTGCTTGCTCGTGGGTCCTGGAGCTGCGGGGTGGCTTTGAGCAGTCGGGGCATCACTGGGGCGGTGGGATGCGGGGGGGGGGGGGGAGGGGGGTGAGGGCAGTTGGGTGACTCTGGCTCTGTGGAGGGTGTCTGGGGGTGAAGCAGGCTCTTCGCCTGCCTGCTCCCTGCCTGCCTGCCCGCCTCACCTGCCCTGTTTGCTGCTCTCTCCCCCAGGTGCTGGATGGGCTGTTAGCTCAGTATGGGACGGTGGAGAACGTAGAGCAAGGTAAGACGGTCCAGCATGGGCCTCATCTGTGCAAAAGCCCCAACGCTCTGCCCACACCAGACAAAACCTAAGTGGGGTGGAAACCTAGTTTTCCCAGTCACTGATATTGGGCTAAAATGGTTTTCCCTGCGGGCGCGAGCCCTGCTGGCAGAGGTGGGGCCACCCGTCTGGCAGTAAGATCAGTCCTCCATCCCCAGAGCTTCTCCTGGTCACTGGCAAATTAAAAAAAAAAAAAAACATTGTCCCTGCAAGCAAAAACTAGCTGAGTGTTGTTTGGGGTCCGCTGGTGGACTGGTGATGGTCCAGCTGTGCATCCTCCTTGGCGAGGGTGGCAGGATCCAGCCTTGGCACCTTCTGGTCCTTTGCCAGCCCAGCCCAATCCTTGTGCCAGGGGAAAATACATCCCTGTGCAGTGGCTGGGGCCATCCGCCACGGGACAGGCGTTACCTTCCCTTCATCCCCACCTGCAAGCCCCTCCAGGGTGTACGGGGGCGGGGGGGGGGCCGGGAGTGGTGACGAGGTCTCTCTCCCTGCCGTAACACTCCTTCTCTTGCTTTTCCCCCAGTCAACACAGACACAGAAACAGCCGTTGTCAACGTAACGTATGCAACTAAAGAAGAAGCAAAAGTGTGAGTGGGTTTTGTTTCATTTTGTCCATATTTTCACGCCACCCGACCTTTTGCCGAGGAATCCCAGGTATCTTCCAGGCTTCTTGTCTTCTCTCTAAGCCTCCTTGGGTTGTTCCTAAGCTCTTACAGTGTAAGCTTCAAGTGCCTTAAGGGCTGTCTGTGTATCTTCTCAAGATACAGCAAGCAGATGTTGGTTTTATCTTGAGCTGTGTCACCTCGCATGTCTTCTGTCAGCAGTCTTCTCTTCATCCCACTACTTGGGCGGTCTCCTGCCTTCTCCTCTCACGTGGGAGATGGGGTTTCCTGTGGTCCCCCAAGCCGGACCAGCTCGGGGCCACCAGCCCTGTGGTTGTCCTGGCTTCTCCTCTGCCTTCTCCGCTTGTTCCCAGGGGGCTCCCAGGTGTGCCGTCTTGCAATTCCCTTTGGACACTGTCCTTCCTACCAGGTCCTCTGCAGGGTCACGGTGGCCTTGTCTTCAGGGAGGAAAGCACTCTAGAAAGCTGAGGGTCAGGTCAGATAAGCAGACGTCTGGAGTCATCCAGGAGTCGTCTTCCCAGGTTGGAAGTCCAGACCTAAACTGGGAATGCACCGGATTAATTGCAAGTCCAACCACCCAGCCTGAGCTCTTGAAGAGGTGGAATGTGGTGAAGGCGTGTGGGAGAGATGGTGAAGAAACACTGCGATGATGGGAGATGTAAGCACCCGCTGCCATCTGGGGAGGATTCAAGTCGGAGACCAAAATACGCAGAGACTGTCACCTCCTGCTTCCCCGAGTCAAGAGAAACCAGCTGGTTGACTTCTAAAAGGCTGTCAAAAAGTTCTTCTGCTGTGGATGAGAGAGGGCTTTTGGATGAATAACTGGTTAGAGGAGGTGGGAGGGAGCCAAGGGGTCCGTGGCTACTTTCTGCAGGGGAGGGAGGGCAGCACTGCGTAAATCACCTGCATGGTGTGCAGAGGAGTCGTAAAGAAATGCCACCCATCAAGAAAAACTTCAGAAGGATAGCAGAACCCGCCGAGGCTGTGTATCAGTGCAGTAGGGCTGTGTGAAGACACGCTTAAAGGTTTATCGTAGCCAGCAGAGGAAAAAAAAAAAAAATACAAATTAGGGGTTATTTCAGAAGTACAAGGACTGTTTCAAGCAAAACGCTTTGTTACAGGCTTGTAGGGACTTTAGCCCTGTGGCAGAGATCAGCCCTAAGTTAGCTACGAGTGAGTAGTGTGCACATGTCATACTTCATGGCCAGGGTATTTTTAATGTGACCAAGAGCCAGGCAGACCCCGTGCAAGGAAGAGCCTTTGCCAGAGTCCGTTTGCTGATGGACGTTTCAGCAACTTCCCATCTGAGTTGACCCATCACAAGGTTGGACTTGGGAGGACAGAGATGGGGAGAATGATCTGCTGGTCCGGGAGGCCAGAGAAGAGTGCTTGTGCCTGCTGGGGTGGCCATACTGGGCAAACTCCGGCCTCAGCTGGCCGGAGGAAGGTGCTGCGGACCACAGATAAACATGGCATGAGCTGCTGTGTCTTGGGATGTGTGGCAAGAAAGGAAGAGTCTCACCAACACAAGGATGCTTGATGCTTTGGGGTAAGAGGCTTCAGGGTAAGAGAAGATGGCTGTGATCGGTCGTATCCAGCCAGACTGACACCCATCTTAGGTGGTGCTGAGCAGCTCAACACAGAAGTGAGTGATGGGAGGAAAGGCCAGGGTGGTTCGTGGGTATTTGTGTTTGGTTTAGAGCACGTTGTTGTGATAGGAACAGGGGAGAGGAAGACCTTGGCAGAGAAATCGGACTGTGGGGCGCCGTGCTGCTTTTGGAAGGGGACGGCGAAGCTGCAGACCTCTCCTCAGTGGATGGGAACTTCAGGCCTGGCGAGGAGCTGCTTGCAGTGGTGCCTTCATAGGCCTGCCCATAAACAGCCAGAGCGAGGTGTGGTGGGAAGAGGGAAGAAGTATGGCTGAAGCCATCACCGCTCGCAGAAGTCCTCGCGTGGCTGAGCATCGCGCCGCTGCTGCGGGGCTTGGGGGGATAAAGAGTCCAGGTGCTGCACCCCCAGCCTCACCCAGCTGGAAGGGGAGTTGGGGTTCCCCGTAGAGGGGTACCACATGCCACGTCCTTCTCCTTGGAGCGGTGTCTCTTGCTCGGAGCCCCTCTGTCACCTTTTCCGTGTCCGAAAAGCCCGTGAGACCCTTCCCAGGCTGTGTGGTAGCTTCTGGACAGCGCTTTCGCCAGGTGAAGTGGCAGATCCCCAGGTTGGCATCCCACCTCTGCTGGGGGGGGGGGACCAGCTGTGTGCCCACCCTGGCATCACCCACACGGGAGGGGACATCGTCCCGCCACACTATGGGGCTTGCTCCGTACAGGGGGAAGTGGGTGGCTCTGGCTTCCCGTGGCCACCTTCTCCAGACAGGGGAGGGAGGAAGATGCAGGGTTGGGGAGGCATCGTGGTCTACAAGGGCAAGCGCTGGGGGTGCTGGAGGGGTGCCCGTCCCCAGAGAGCCCATCACCACCCGCCGCATCTCCCTACCTTGCAGAGCAATTGAGAAGTTGAGCGACCACCAGTTTGAGAACTATTCCTTCAAGATTTCCTACATCCCGGATGAAGAGGTGAGCTCCCCTCCGCCCCCACAGCGATCCCGCCGCGGGGGCCACTCTTCCAGGGAGCGGGGCTCCTCCCCGGGGGGCTCCTCGCAGCCCAAACAGCTCGATTTCCCACTGCGGATGCTGGTGCCCACGCAGTTTGTTGGTGCGATCATAGGAAAGGAGGGCTTGACCATAAAGAACCTTACTAAGCAAACCCAGTCCAAGTAAGTACCTCAAATGGTTTTGTTTCCTTCCGTAGGGTGCTGTAGGTCCCTGGCATGGGTTCTCCGTGCACTTGGGGCTTTTGAGTGCCAGCCAGTGCTGTTTTCTTGGGGTGCAGCCTTCATGGGCTGGTGGCAGAGCCCATGTCCTAAACTTCCTGCTGGCCAGGGTGGTCTGGGTGTGGCAAGAGGGGGATGCACGTTCCAAAAGGCAAGGAATGGGTTTCTAAAGCCTAATCACGAGAGCAGCTTTAGGGAGAAACGGCAAGTTGGGGGATAAAATGCTGGAGGGGAATCCTAGGTACAGTGGCTGGTGCCCACGCGGTCTTTGCCCTTGGGATTTGTTCATCCCGCAGCACCCGGTATGGGCTAGAGCTGTTGTAGGGGGAGAAGGGGCACCGTGGGACCACTGCCTTGAGAAGGATGGGCTTTTAGTAACCGAAGCTTTTTTTTTTTTACAATCTAGCATTTTTAATTTTTAAGGGGGGGGAGGGAAAGGGGGAAAAAAAAAAAAAAAAAAAAAAAAAGGGGAGGGGGGGAGCTGTCTTGCCAAAGTTTCCCATGTTTCTCTTGTCAATGTTCACATTGATTTCACCTCTGATTTTCTGCATGGTTTTCCTGCATGGTTTGTTCCTGCCCAGATTTGTTTGTGTTTAACCCAAAGCTGTCTTCTCCCATGCTCATCATCCTGAACCTGGTGATCTCACAGGATATAGGACTCCTGTACCAGAACATCCTCCAGGGCGTCCTAGTTCTCAGAGGAGCTTTTAGAGGCAAATTATTTGGTAATAGCACGTCTGCTTGAGCAGGAGGTAGGAAGACGTGCCGTTCTGCAGCCGAGCGAGCCGAGCCCCAGCGCTGGGTTTGCGGGAAGAGCTTTGTACGGAAAGGGGGCAGATGTGTAGGGACAGGAGCCCTTCAAGCCCGGCTAGCCCTAAAGCGTGGCCACCTAGTAGCCGTGAGCTGGTCCCAGTTGGCCGCAAGCCCTTCTTCTCCAGGTGAGTCCCCTGGTGTGCTGAGCAATGGGTGTAGCTATGTCCTTGCCACCCGAGACTGGAGGATTGCCCTTGGCAAGCCTGGAGCCTGGTGAGGAAGGTGGGAGGTACCGGCTGCCAGTTTCTCCCAACCCCGAGGGCAAACGCTGCTGCCTGGGGCAGTTTCTGTCACGGAGCTGTCCCTCCCGGGGGCTTGGCTCCCCGTGCCTGCCCCAAAGAGCTGGCGCTGTGGAGGAAGGCCGTGCTCCGTGCCCTCGCCTCTCCTGACCTGCCCGAGGAGGCCGTGTGCCACGGCGGGCCACCACCTCCGCTCCGGCCTTGGGCAAGGGGCACCCTCATGCCCCCCCGGCCCGGGCAGTCCCGAGAGACCTCTGCCTTCAGTTTGGGGTGTCAGCCTGCGGCTCCGTCCCTGCTCAGGCCACCCTCGCCCGCCGGTGTGATGATCCTGGGGCTGAGGGGGGTCCTGGCTTCCTCTGGTCACGCAGGACTTCGCCCCTAGTCTCTGCACGCAGCCGTGCCCGGAGATGCTCCTGAGCTCCAGGGGACAAAACCGTCCCCGAGTTGTGCCATCTTCTTCCTTGGTTGAGGAGGAGCCCAGACCAAGTGCCCAACCCATCAGACGACCTTCCACAGTGACTGCAGCCCTTGTAACTTGATGAGGAGAGGGCCATTGCTGCCAAGCAGCCACGGGGCAGGATAACCCTACGTGCACACCGTACCATCCGCCTCAGGAGGCCTGTCCCTCGTGGCTGCTGCTCTCTGAAGTGTTCCCAGCACCCCACCCAGCCACTCCATAAGGTGTCTTGGAGGTTTTTCCTGCTGCTCCGTGGGCAAACCTGCCCTGCCCCTGTTCCACCATCCCTGTTGTTATCTGCCCCCCCGTCTCCCCAGCCTGCAGCACCCCAGGGGCCTGGGCAGCCGCTGCTGAGGTGAGGGGGTTGAGGATCCCCTTCTCCATCCTCTTGTTGGAATGGAGCTGTGCAGCAGCAGCACTGGGACATGCTGGGAAGCCCAGAGCCCTCCTCCACCCTCCAGCCCTTCAGGGTGCAGCATGCCTGGACACAGCAGCCCTTTCCTGGCACCTCGTCTTCTCTCGTGCCTGCACATCCCGGTTTGGGATGGGTTGGAGGTCAGCCAGGCGCCTGGCCTGTGTCCCTCCCTTGGGCTTGTCCAGGGTACTCGGCTCTTCGGTGCGTCCGTCCAGCCCGTCCGTGGCTCTCGGCCCTTCTTCAGTACAAAGGCTCATCTGCGGGGTCCCATCTCCACCGGCCTCAACTGCTCATGGGTTCACGGAGCTGCCTGACTCCTGTCTGGGGGGGTTGCTTGGGGGCATTCAGGGGCTTCTCGTTGGCTCCACCTGGCTGAGAGCGCCAACCCGGTGTGACGTTGGCGACACCGCTCTGGAGCACGGGCTTTTTTGCGGCGCTTGGTGATGTGTTTGCCTTCTCCTCAGCAGAAGGGGTGGCAGCGGGTGTCCCTGTGCCTGCTGGGGGCTGCCTCTGAAGGAACAAATCCTCCACATCAACCTGACGGAGCTCCGCAGCTGGGAGTGCCTTGGAAGGTGTCACACAGCTGGGTCACTGTGTGCTGTAGATGTAACCAGAACCCGGGGAGAGCTCGGCGGTGCTGATGCCTCCAGCACCTCTTTGCCCGGTCCAAGTAGGACCAGTCTCCTGCCCGAGCAGCTCTGGCTGAAGCTGTAGGAGATCTGGAGAGGTGTAGCCTGCCAAGGGGATCAAACTCTGTCTTCGTTCCCTCTTCAATGCTCAGAAGCCTGGGGGTCACTTTTGAAGCTGGCGGGGTAGGTCCTCTACCTTGTCTCAGGAAGGTTCGCCCAGCTGCTCACCCTCCATCCGTAGACGAAGCGTCCTTGTGCCTACGTGCTGGTTCACGGGCTCCTGGAAGAGCTGACCCGTGCTAACCCGCCGTGACCCTGTAGCATCCAGGTGTGGTGCCGGTTGGGGGTGGCTCAGCACCACAGCCCTCGGCCTGGCGTGCACGGCGGCACCCGCGAGCGATCCCAGTCCCGATCGAAACCTCGTACGGAAACCGGTGCGGGCAGAGGGCACCGCGGTGGAGCTGGGCGCTGAAGACCTTGGCGGTGTGGCCGAGTGGCCGCTACTGCACCTCCTCCGAAGATTTGGGCCAGCCCAGCCCTGGGTGCAGCAGTGGCAGGGACGCCAGGGTGCCCGATGGCAGGATGGCTGCGCGGCATCATCCTCCGGCGGGAAGCGCGTGCAGACTCACGCGGAGACGGGAAAGTTGCTTAGCCCTCTTCTTCGAGATGCACAGTTGACGTGCAGGAGTCTCCTACCCTGCTCTCCTCTCTCCCTCTCTCTCAGGGCCTTTGCCAGGTACGGTTGAGCAGTGAGGAGCGAGCTGGAGGCCTGTGCCTCCTCCCCGCCATGAGCTGAGGGGAGGACCAGAGGAGGTAGAGCACGGGCCCTGCCGGTGCGCAAGGGAGAGCTTTCTGGTCTCCCGTGGGAAGGGCGTGAGTACAGGCGTTGTCGTTGATGTGTGCCTCCGTGTCGTGACCAACCCTGCCTCGCGGGTAAGTTGCCTCTCCGTCCCGAGCGACACGCAGCGGTCGTGGCAGGCGCTGGTGGCTGGACAGCCTCGGGTGTTGGGCGGAGAGAGGCCGAGGTCGGAAGGGACCTCTGGAGACCTCTGATCCCATCGCCTGCTCCGAGCGGGGCTGGGGCCACAGACGACCGAGCAGGTTTCTCGGGGCTTTTTTTCCAGTTGAGGATTTGTTCTGCCCACTCTTGATGCTTCGTTTGACGTTGATTGCCATCCCTCAGCTGCCAGGGAAACCTCAGGTCATAAAGGAGAACGTAGCTCAAATCTGGGTCTAAACCAGCTGAAGCCAAACACTACCTGGGCTTGCATGAGACCAGGTGACGGTAGATGTACGTCAGCGAGACCCAGGTTCACCCAAAGCTTGAGCAGGTGTTCAAACGAGCTTTTCTGTGAATAGCAAGCTCAGCTCCCGCGCTCTCAAAGCCTTTGTGCGACACCACAGACGCATCTCAGAGGGCTCCTCTCTGCTGGTTGTTTTGCCGTAGGGTTGACATCCATCGGAAGGAGAACGCCGGTGCCGCTGAAAAGCCCATCACCATCCATGCCACACCAGAGGGGTGCTCTGAAGCGTGTCGCATGATCCTTGATATCATGCAGAAGGAGGCCGATGAAACTAAATCGTAAGTGCCCCTGGCTCTGCAAAATGGGCAGGTTTGGTGGAAAGGAAGTAAATTCAGCCATCGGTGGAGAAGAAGCCATCTCCTGTCACCCCCCCACCCCCTGAGGAAACCGCTGGCATTCAGAGTTTCAGGATAGAGCCATGGCTCAGTTAGTAACTGACAACTTAATAACTTCTCCATGGCGTTGTTGACAGTGCTGTAGAGACCAGAAGCTCAGGTGGGTCCAACGAGCATGTAGGCAAACCTGGAGAACAAAACACAATGAAATATAGATGGGCTTGGGAAATCCCTGAGTTCCCGTTCCCTGGAAGCTGAGGAGATAGAGTGGTGGGAGGCAGTGGTGGTTCTTCTGCTCCTTCCACCACATCATTAGTGCCTGTTGCTGGAAATCCCTTTCCTGGCCAGATGGACCTTTAGATTTTATTTTTAAATCCATTTTAGAACGGAAGAAATTCCCTTGAAAATCCTAGCACACAACAGTCTGGTGGGGAGGTTGATTGGCAAGGAGGGCCGCAACCTCAAGAAGATCGAGCAGGACACGGGCACGAAGATCACCATCTCCCCGTAAGTCCTGATGAACACCAAGTCATCCCCTTCCACCCAACACGGTACGGGCAGCGCTGGAGCCAGAAAACAGAGCACTTGTGTCCTCCCATGCACGTTCCCCATCCTGGGTGGGAGCTCCTCATCCCAGGTGGATGGTGGTGTTGGGCAGGGAGAGGGCATGTGGTCCCATGCTGCCTCATCTTTGATTTGAGCTTTCCTTTTTTTTCTGACTTGGGGGGGAAAGAAAAAAAAAAAAAAAAAAAAAAAAAGGTAACTGCATCTCTGGATTTATCTGTGGGGGTAGTTTGCAGGATTTAACCATTTATAACCCCGAGCGGACCATCACGGTGAAAGGCAGCACGGAGGCGTGCTCCAATGCCGAAGTGGAGATCATGAAGAAGTTGCGAGAGGCCTACGAGAACGACGTGGTGGCCGTCAATGTAAGCTGCCAGCCTTCCCACCGGGGGTGCCGCTGCCCAGGTGGCCAGAAGAAAACTGGGGGGGGGGGGGGATGGCAGCAGCGGGGGGAAGTCCCTCTGTTAGGGCGAGGGTTGGCCCTCACCAGTCATGTCCACGCTGTGTGGGGAGAACCTTGAAGCCCCCGCTCCCGCCTTTTACGCGTTGCTCCGTGTCTTTGCTTTCCCAGCAACAAGCCAACCTGATCCCGGGACTGAACCTCAGCGCTTTGGGCATCTTCTCGACAGGGCTGCCCATGCTCCCGTCCACCCCAGGGGCCCGAGGGGCTGCAGCCGCCGCCCCGTACCACCCGTTTGCAGTAAGTGCGAGAGGTTTCGGGGTGCGAGGGATGCATTCGGGGGGGGTGGGCAGAGTGGTCTGTAGATTTTCCTGCTGCAGCTCTTGGGTTTGGGTGGACGCTGTAGCTATAGGAGCCTTCTCCTGGGGAGCCTTGAGCAAAAAGCTCTGACTCTTGGCCGTTTGGGGAAGATGTTTGCCACAGCAGCGAGGTGGAGAAGACAGTGAGTGAACGTGGCTTGTCCCTCCTTGGATTTAGCTCCCTGGGAAGATGAGCCGCATCCCAGTGTCGTGCTGAGCTCGGTTTCACTTGTGTTTAAGAACTGGCCATGTCCCAGGGGTGCTGCTCTCTGAAGGTGGCTGGGGGGCCCAATCTGTGCCGATGCCACCGTGGAAAAACCACGTAGGTGGGTCTGCCAGTCCGGACCCCAAGCCCACCACCGGGTTGTGGTGGTGTGGCCCCGGGGGTGCCCCGGTCTCGGTGGCCGCCTGGCCAGCACGCCCTGTGCAACCACCGCCGCCAGCTTCCGTCCCTGCCCTAGCACCCGGAGCGTTGCGCTCGCTGGGAGCCAACCCGCACCTGACTGCACAAGGCGAGGGGTCCCCTCTTTCTTGGGGTGCTGTGGCTGCTGAGACCCGGGCCAAAGCAAGCCTGGGAAGCAGCTTCGAAAACCGCGGAGGTTGCGCGCAGGCAGGGACGGTCCAGTGTCGGGAAAACACACCGGCCAGCGTACTGATGGAGAATGGTCCATCCCCAACCCACCAGCACCTGCAGAGAACCCGAAGGGTGACCAGGCTCTGCGGTCTGTCTCTGTTAGTCTCTCTAAATCTGCTGACGAGCTTTGGCTGCACGGCGACCAGCGTGCGGGTTAATTTACTTGTGCTGTTTTCTTTTCCTGGCGACGCCAGCAGCAGAGCGGTCGGAGGAGAACGGTGAGTGCCAGGCTGGCGGTGCGGAGGGGTTGGTGATGCGATGAGGGCCCTGGAGGGGCAGCGAGAGGGTCTGTCTGTCTGTCTGTCCGTCTGTGCACTGCCAGCCGGCGGCGAGGAGGATGCTCTGCCTGCATCGGCCGCCTGAGCAAGGGCAGCCTTTGGGAAGCGTCTGCTGGAGCGTTTGTTGGTTGTGATGAGGTGGAGCTGGGCTGGTGTCCTGAAGGGATTGGGCTCCTTCACCTTTGCGTGGCCTTTTTCAAGCCACCCTTCTGAGGCCGAGAGGAGCAAGTGCCTCTGCCATCATTTTTTGGAGCGATACACGGCAAAAAAAAAAAAACCAAAAACCTAATAGGAAACAAGCTTGGCTCTGTGGCAGCTCCTTCACCCTGAATATTCCATGTTTCACACCTCGGAGCGGTCATTTCTGACCGTGTCCTCAGCAGGACCTGGGGTTAGTGGCTGTGGCTTCAGCTCTGGAGTTCTAGAGGCCTGGCAAGGACAGAGGACGAGGAAGGAGCCTCACAGCGAAGGGAGGGAGCTGGGGAGGTGCTGTGTCCACTCCAGCCACGGGGACCGGCCGGGCAGGAGAGGACACGGTGGTGTAGGAGACGTGAAGCAGCCGGGTGCCAGCTCCGGAGCGTGGAGGCAGGGAGCATTTGGTTGCGCTTGCCCAAATCCAGAGCAGGAGAGAGTTGTGTCTGCTGCCAGGAGAAACGTCTGTATTTGACACACGGAAGCGTTAAAGAGGAGTTGGGCTGGGTTGAGTTTGGGATTGGGGCGCTGGCACGCACCCCTTGCTCCTGGCTGTGGAGAGACCCACTGTTTTTCTCCCTGTCCTCAACCCAGGTCATGGGAGAAGAGCTTCAGCCTTTTTCGTTTTCCTTCTCGTGGAACTGGAGGAGGGAAATGGTGGTGGAAATCGGAGCCAAACCAGATGTTTTGCTCAGCTCTCGCCAAACTCCCACCTCCTCGACCGATGGTGGTTACGGCACGATGTTTGGCTTTCCAGGGTTGTGGCTGCTCCAAAAAGTCGTAGGGACCGGTTTGGTTTTCCACTAAACAATACTAGCAGGACAGTCAAAAAACCAGCGGCGGGGAGGGACTGGGGGTAACTGGGAGCTCCCAGCCCCGTCACCCTGTGCTGCAGGTGCGGGATCCAGGCTGCAGCTCACCCCGACGCACCCTCGGGTGCACCCTCGCCCTCCGGGAGGGCTCTCAGGGGCTCAAGGGTTGTCCCAGTGTCCCCGCCCGGCTGGTGACGCTGCTCGGCGTCGGGCTGGGGGTGGCCGGGGAGGGGGCTGGCACGTTGGCGATGTCACTGACCCTCGTTTTCTCGGTGCCGCAGAGCTCCTCGGCGTATCTCTCGGGTCTGTACGGAGCCCCCCCAGCTGGTGCCTTCCCCCATCAGCACCCTGTAAGTTACCTCCCTCCACGAGATCTTTCGCTCGGGCACCTTGGGAGGGTGGGCACGAGGCCGGGGCGGGCGGCCACTGCCCTGGGATGCTGGTGGGGGGGTGGGGGGGTGGGCAGCCCCGCCCCCCCCCCGGGTCTCCCCTGACCGTCTCGCTCTCCCGTGCCCTCACCAGCTGCCGGAGCAGGAGGTTGTGAACTTGTTCATCCCGACGCAGGCGGTGGGGGCCATCATCGGGAAGAAGGGGCAGCACATCAAGCAGCTGGCGCGGTTTGCCGGTGCCTCCATCAAGGTGAGCAGGGTGCTGCAGGGCTTCGTGCCTCGGTTTCCCCTTCCTACCGCTGAGGACGGCGGATGAGAGCCCTTGGTTTGGTTCCCTCAAATTGGTAGAAACGCAGTCCTGCGACAACACACACACACACACACCCCCCCACACACACACACACCCCCTGGGTATCACTGCTGCTTGGGTGGGAGGGGAGGCTCCTGCACGGGGAGGGGATGTCCCTGCACGGGTTGAGGTGGGGGGGCCATCCCACATAGGGAAGGTCTTGCCAAAGCGGGGCCACACTCCCGCTCCTTCTCCCCCATCCCTCTGCAGATAGCCCCGGCAGAAGGCCCCGACGCCAGCGAGCGGATGGTGATCATCACGGGGCCGCCCGAGGCTCAGTTCAAGGTGAGCTGGCCCCGGGATGGGGGGCTGTGACAAATCAAGAGGGTCCCTTTGGTCACCGGCGGCCGGGGGAGCTCTTTGCTCAGCTCCCTGCTTTGGAGGCTGCCGGGCACGCCGTCGCGCTGGGGGAGGGAGGGCACGGCGGGAGCCGCTGGCTCGCCGGTTTTACGTCCCGTCTGTCTCCTCCCCAGGCCCAGGGGCGGATATTTGGGAAGCTGAAAGAGGAAAACTTCTTTAACCCGAAAGAAGAAGTGAAGCTTGAAGCCCACATCAAGGTGCCTTCCTTCGCCGCCGGCCGCGTGATAGGCAAAGGCGGCAAGACGGTAGGTTGGGGGGGGGGGGTGTGGGCAATCACCCCTTGCCCCGGCTCACCTCGGGGTGCCCAGTGATCACAGCAGCGGTTTGACCCCGGCCCCGTGTCCTGCTGCTGCCTCTCGTTGGGTGGTGACCGGCCCAAGGAGGGGGACAGCTCGGAGCCGGGGCTGACCTCGGGTTTTATCGCCAACAAAACCCGAGACCCTCTCATTTGCTCCAGGTGAACGAACTGCAGAATTTAACGAGCGCAGAAGTCATTGTGCCGCGAGACCAAACCCCGGACGAGAACGAGGAGGTCATCGTTAAAATCATTGGGCATTTCTTTGCCAGCCAGGTGAGGTTCGGCCGTGGCTTTTCCGACGTTTCCCAGCCACTTTAATCCCCCCCGAGGGAAACCGCCGAGCCCGGCGCTGCCGGGGCATCCCGCTGCTCCGTTTTGGGGGGCACCTGGGATGCACTAAAGGTGTTTCGGCAGCTCGCCCCGGCCGTGCTAGCGTTCAAAACCCACTTGGATTTAGCTAAAACACATCTGGACCCCTGCGCGTAGTGGCACCCGGGGTGTGAATCGGCTCCTCCCTGGCGTCAGCGCGGGCAGGGAGCTCTCGCAGGGCGCTCCTGGGTGTGTGTACTTATCTCCTGGCACCCCAAAACTCTCGCAGAGGGGTGGGGGGGGTTGTTAAAACCCTGCAGCCGTGGGGGAAGCAGGGCGGCTCCTTCTTTTGCAGAGCCTTAATTACAGCTGCGCCGAGCCGCGGCTCTTGTCATGAAAAGCTCGGCGGGCGAGACGCCGTCGCAGCTAGAAGCGGGGAGCAGCCACTCGGGGTGCCCACCCTGACCCCCGATTTTTGCTTTTATTTCCCCCCCCTCCCCAAGACTGCACAGCGCAAGATCAGGGAAATCGTCCAGCAGGTGAAACAGCAGGAGCAGAAACACGCTCAGGGAGCCCCGGCCTCGCAGCACAGCAAGTGAGGCTCCCGCCGCGCCGGCCAGCACCGCCCGATGAATGTAACCCCCCCCCCCCCCCCCCCCAACTGCCGCCGCCGGACCACCCCACCCCCCCCCCCCCAGCAGGTCAGGGGAGCAAACCAAAGACCCCCCCGAAACCCCCCTCCCGCGGCCAGGGCACTGCGAGGATGCGCAGCGGAGGGGCACGGGGAGGGAGGGCTCTCTCCCTCCCACAGCCTCCCCTTTACTCCGTCGCCTCCCGACGCTATCCCTTTAGTTGGACTAACATAGGCAGAGAGAGAGATGGATGATTGTTTGTTTTTTTTTTTTTTTTTTTCGGTTTTGTTTTCCTTCTTTTTAATTTCCTAAAAGCCACCTGTTTCATCCAGGCACGGCCGGAGGAGCTCGCCCGGCGTGGGGGGGGCTGCGGCGCACAGCGCGGCACTCAGCCATTTTAGAATTAATATATCGATAATGAAACTAACGCCGATTTTTAAAATTTTTAAGAATTTTTTTTTTTTTTTGTTCGTTTGGTTTTAATTTCAAAGGGGTCGGGGAGGGGGGGGGTGTTTTGTTTTTTTTTTTTAGCAAAAGCAGGCTTTTCTAGAGTTTTAAGGAAACGAGCTAGACTGTTGGTTCTCTAAATGCACAGTAGAGCAGAGATGTAGGATTGCCAGCAGGGGAAAAGAAAAAAAAATAAAATTAAATGAGTGTTAAAAAGCAATTTCTTAAGGGCTTTGAGAAGAGCAGTGCCTGTATGAGCCAACAGAAGGGATACCGTCTCCTAAAAGAAGAATCTCTCTTTCACACGCCCTTTCTTCTTTGCTTCACCGAGTCCAAAACTGGGGTTTGCATCTGTTCTGTCCCCCCTTTCCAGCTGTCTGTCTGTCCCCTCTGTCTCCCCATCGCTGCCCGACCCAGCCCTGCTCAGCACTCCCATCCCTGGGAAAGGACGGGCAGCACCAGCCCTGCCCGCTTTGGGCACGGAGCTTTGGGGAAAGATCCCTCTTGCAGGGACAGGAGGGGATAAGGGAGGGGGGGGGGGGAACCAACAAAAAAAACCCCAACCAAAAAACCCCAACAGATTTACAAGAGGTTGGAAGAACAACCAGCAAAATTTTTTTCCAAATTCAAAAACTAAAACAACCACCCCACACAACACATGCATACACCCACACACAAAAACTACCTCAGGTTTTCGTACCTCAGCACCTTGCGCTTGTGTTTCCCTTTTAGAGATTTTGTATGCCTTGTAAAACTGATAGTTGGAGCATTTTTTTATTTTTTTAATAAAAAATGAGTTGGAAAACGATCTCGACCAAGTCAGCTGCGAGGCAGGAGAAGGAAACCATCCCACGTGTCCCAGAGCTCTTCCGTAGTCTCCTTGTGCTAGCTGAGAGCCAGTGGCCATTCCTTCGGAGAAAGCTTGAGAAATGTTGAAAAAGAAAAAAAAAAAAAAAGAAAAAAAAACCAAAACAAAACAAAAAAACAACAAACCACCAACCAACAGAAACCCAACCATAAAAATAAAAAGGCAGAAAAAAAAAACAAAAAAACAAAACAAAACCAAACCCCAGCAAATGAAAGCGGTGAATCGCGATGGGCGCAGCGTGCTGCCGGCGGGTCCTGCGCCGGGGTGAGGTGCCAGCGCTGGGCCCACGGGCTGCCACGCCACGTTTTCCTCTACTGCGACGTGTTCTGTGAAAAACCAACCCGACGACGACAACAACAACAACAAAAAAAAAAAAAAAAAAAAAAAAAAAAAAGAAGAGAAATATATCCAGCTAACAAGAGCCTGAGCTTGCTATCCGTTGCTTTCTTTCGAGTGCCCTGCACTGGTCACGGCCAAGCTGGGCTTGGGGCCGGGGGGTTCCCTCGTGGTCACCCCCATTTAGTCGCCTCAAGCACTGGGCAGCCCGAGGAGGGGGGGGGGTGTGGATGGTGTTTTGTTGTTTATTTTTTTGCTTTTTTGAGGGAGGATGTTTGCAGGCATTGCCGGGCGTCGCTTTACCCGGTCACTCGGGGAGGTGTCGCCGGGGCGAAGCTGCCTCTCCCCCACCCGGGAGCAGGGGCCGTGCCTCTCGGCGGTTAATTAGCAAAGCCAAAGCGATGCTGCCGTGATTCCTGGCGCGCTAACGATGCTCATGTAGCTGGAAAGCTCGGGGAGGAGGCCGGGGGGGGGCCCTCCCCGTCTCCCCGTGGCTGCTTTTCTAGCTGGCCAAAAGCTCCGTCGTGCCACCAGCCGCCTCTGGGGTGGGTAGAGGGGCAACACAGAATGGGGGATGGATCAAAACGGGGCTTGGCTGCCCCGCGTGTGGAAAGCTGGCGTGGGTAGGGCTGCGCCTGGACGTGGCACGGGGTGCTGATGGGTGGCACGCTGGGGGAACCCCCAGGGCTGCTCTCCTTCCCTCCCCCCAGCCCACCGGGGCCGGGCTGCCACGCGGAACACCAACCGCGTCACTTTGGCACGCCGTTCTGTTTTGGAAAGGTACGGGGAGCAAAGGGAGGGGGGGGTAGGGAATAAAAGAAAATAATTAAAAAAAAAAAAAGCCAAACCCTTCCTTTCCCACCTACAGCACGAAAAAGAACATCGGTTTTTGCGGTCGCTGTCCCCCCCAGCCCCAGGCGGTGAGGAATGACAGGGCTCTGGGGTAGCCCCCTGCCCCGTGAGGCTCGGCCTGACCCCCGGTCTGGCTGAGCCCCCCCCCACGCCCGTCCTGGGGGTCGGGTCCACGGCACGGAGCAGACAGAATCACGGGTGTGGGGAGCACGATGCCAAGCATCCCTGCCCCCCCTGCCTCTCCCCCTCCTCCCCGGCCCAGGGCAGCAGCCGGGAGACGCAGAGTTACTCACGCTCTACACGTGTTCTCCCAGCAGCACAAAAGCACGAGCTCCTCACCCCCCAAAAAGGTCATTTACTAACGAGATTCGAGGCCCGGATCCCACACACGACTGATCAGCCAGCGCACCACAGTCCCCACCCTATGGCTCCCCCCCCCCCCCCCCAGGCTGTTCTCAGAGCACCTTGTAGGGACGTGACGAACCGAACGCAGCTGAAAGGCCAGAGCCCAGGCGACCACCCCGAACGCGGAGGGGAGGCTGGGGGGCCTGCAATTTCCCCACCACCTCCCTCAAGGAGGCTTTCAGCAGCCACAAACACACAGGCACTGCTAAGAGACCGGCAGCGATCCCTGCGGGTATCCCCCCCCCCCGCAGGGTTTAACACCCCAAAAATGCTTTTTGGTTTGTGTAGAGGAGGGGAAGGCACCCGCTGGCTGCACGTCCAGGTGAGCTGTTGATGGCAGCGGCACCGTCCGAGCCCCCCCCTCTGCTTAAGGGGCACGCACAGGGACCTGGAAAGCATCCTTTTGCCACGAGGTCCTCTGCAGGCGTGGTTTTGTTGTTGGTTTTCTTCCCCCCCCCCCCCCCCCCCCCCGAAAGAAAAATTCTGCTTTCACAATCAGCAGACCGTAGGGTCGGCCTCTAATTGCATCCCCCCAAACGGCGAGAACTGAAGCTGAAGGGAAAGGATACTTACAGCATTCAGCTCCTGGGTCCTGGTGTTAATAAACAGGTAAAATCTTCCGAGTCCTCGGGGATCCAGGGAAGATTCTATCTCATGTGAGCGCACAGCACGACAGATTGCCTTTGTAAGAGTTCTCTTTGGAGAACCTCCTCTGATTTTGTGGACGGATTAAGCTAATCAGTTTGAAAGCAAAGACCGGTGCAGCTGCTGAGCCCTGAACGCAGATCAAGCACTGCATCAGCTTTCCCAGGGCAGCAGATCTTCAGGCAAAGGCGCAGCACCGTGAAGGCTGACCGCACCCACGACGACAGAGGGGATGGCCCCCAAAATCACCATTTTATAAAGCTGAAGAGAGGGCAGACCTTGTCACCAGCCAGGAACCACCTTACATTATGGGAACTGTGCCATTGCAGAAACAACCCGACGTGGTTATTTATCCAAGCATTCCAACTCGTGGCTTCCGAACCGGCTACGGGGCAATCTTTCCTCCGGGATGGTAAACGGCAGGTCTGAAATCCTACTCCAGTTCTGGACTATAACCTGAAAGAAAACAAACAGAAAGAAAAGAAAGGGGAAAACACCATGTTTAAACTAAGGTAGCTTGGTCTGAGAGTTCACGTGAGTTCTTCCTTCTGCGGAGGCGTGGAGGCAGCACCTGTGGCACTGGGGCAATGAGGCAGCAATAAAGCAGCTTCCGCCGCCGTGCACCGCCACACTGCGTGGAGACAGGTCCCAGTACACCCAGCCGCACACACAGGCTTTGGTTGGCTCACTGAGAAGTCTGCTGGGTTCCCCCCCCCCAAAAAGAGAAATCTCCCCTCTTAGGTTTTACTGGGCTCCTGCTTGCTCATCTCACCGCTGCACGACCTCCTGACTGCCCCTTCGGGATATCGCGACAACCGCTTGGAGGCTTTCGTGCTCTGATACTCATCCTGGCTGCAGTCCTCTTCCTTGCGGATTGTAGGCGAGGTAAAAAAAAACACACTGATACACTGAACTTTTTTTCAATTAAAAAAATCACTCTATTTCATTACCAGGTAGAATTCCATTCCAGTAAGGCTCTTTATATAAGTTACATATTTATTTTAATAAAAAGAAATAAATACTTCTCTCTTCACATTAGATAACTCCCTGGAGACAGGAAAAAAAAAAACAAACAAAACAAAACAAACAAACAAACAAAAACAACACAAAAAAAAGCAACGAAACATAAACCAACCCCAACTACGGGGGCTTCACTATGGATTTGTTACAAATCAAAAGATGATAAACGCTTTCCTTCTATGGTCATCACAAATCCAGTTTTAGGAATCAAGTAGATCGTAGATATTCCAGAAACAGAAGGAGACTCTCCTTGAGGAAACAGCAGCTGAGCACCTCGTCCTTGGGAAGGTGAGTTCAGCCAACACAGCTGTGATGACCACCACAGACGAGAGCCCCGTTTGTGCGTGCGGCGGGGTACAAGCATCCCTCCCGGTGGCAGAGGTTCACAGCGTTTGTTCTTAACCGTTCCCTTGGCGGGGTCACAGCAATCTTTCTGGCTTGCTCTTGAGGCGCGTTAGCTAATTTCAAAGAGAGTTACTGTCTCCAAAATCGGGGAAAAAAAAAAAAACAAAAACAAAACAAAAAACAAAACAAAAGAAAAAAACAAACCCAAAGCCAACTTAACCACTGCTTCGTAGCCTAAAGAGGAAAAATTTGTGTGCCTGCTGCCTTTTCAAATAAAGTATTAGAAAAGTAACTAAAATAGGAGTTAGTCACCCCAAGGTGATCACAGTGTTACTCTAATAGTGCATGTCTCTCAGCAGCTGCTGATGGATTATTTCCCATACCATCTTCTTGCGGAAGTAAGGCATGTGATTCTGAGGAGAAAAGAAAAATCCATTACATATGAAGTCATGGCAGAAAGAGGCAGAAAGTATGCATAAACACCCCGTTAATTCTTTAATGTGAAGTTCCTTTTAACTGTCAACCCTCGCCATCTGGCTACAACGTGGGTTTCACTCACACAGCTCCTAGGAGGGTGACATGACAACCCAACTAAGCCCGACTGACTTGACGCCACAACAGCTTACAAGCGCTGTAATAAAAGACCACTGTGCTGGAAAACAACCAGTGTCTTAACCCGTCAAAAGGGTGAAAGCCATTTCTCCAAAAGGTACAAAGGCCTGCTATCACAAACCCACTGGCTGCAGTATCTCACCCAAGAGAAATCTCACCGATTCAACTAGGAAGCACATACCAGGTGGAAGGACGGAGAATACAGCTCTGCCCTGCTGGGGCCACTTGGAAGTTCCAACCACCAAACCCAGAGAGAGGTACAAAACCTCAGCCCCTGCCCCAGCTATCAGCAGCAGCTTCTGCGTAACCTCCCCGGCTCCTGTACCTGCCCGAAAACATCCGGAGCTGTTTATGACCTTCACTCACCTCTGTAAAGGTTATCGGTTTGTCTCTGGAGATATAATCTGCGTATTTGCACATAAAAACTCCGCAGTCACTTCCATTCAACTGTTGAGGGATTTCCTAATGAATGCAAAGAAGATGGAGAAGAATTTTCCTCTGTCTTAAAAGCAAAGCAATTTGGAAGCAACGCGCATGAGCCATACCAGCAACGCACTAGCCAGACACACGGGAGACTACTTGCATAATCCATTTACCGCTCCCGAACACAAGGAATAGACTCAATTAACTGCACATCATCCCTCCCCTCTGCTTCCTTTACTTGGATGTCACAGTCCAAATTCTTGGCAGGCTGATAAGGGCTAGCAGCCTTCCTCCCTGTAAGGGGTTTGCAGAGCGTTGTGTTTCTTGTCTTCGGATAGTGCTTTTTACTATTGGCTTGTTGAGAAACATCAGCTCAACCTTTTGCTTTGCCACATGCCAGGATCTGTGCTCCAAACAAGAAGCCTATGTTCTCTGACAACAGCTAAGCAGGCTTTTAAATTTGACTTGCGAAATGGGAGCAAAGCCAGATTCACCTTAATGTGGCAGACTAATTAAAAAAAAAAAAATTATATATATATTCAGCCAGCAAGGAGAGGTACTGCTTAAAGATTGAATCTCAGCATGGATTCCTGGTCCACCTGCAGCCTGAAGTGGTACCAGAAGAACACAAAATGCTTATAAGCCGTTTCTCTAAAGGCTTGGACTTATTAGGAAGTGTTAAGACCTCCGTGACAAGGAGTTACAGTTCACATTTCAAATCCAGGTAGTGCTCACATACACGTGACTCCATGCTGTGAAGAGTCCACTCTGAAACAGTCAGCTCCAGGTTTCTTTTTTCTCGGCTTTCTTCTTGCAGGTATTGGCTGTTCAAAAATGAAACAAAATCACTCTTCACCTCCATAATTTAGGCCAACAAAAAAATTGCTGCTGAAGGATCACAGGAAGATGAATGGCAGGACAGTAAACCGTCAGAGGATCCTCCCAATAGCGGATTTAAGGAATTTGGAGGAAAAAGCCAAATCTTAAATTTACAGACACGGCGAAAGGCTGTGAGCTAATGCTCAGGAATGAGACCACCTAGTCAGGAAGGAGACCAACAATTCCAACAGAGGCTTCCACAAAAGTGTAAGATCATTGCTTAGTAGAGGTCAAAAAAACTCCACATCACGTGTTATCAGGAGAGAAACAGAAAAACCAAGCAAGGAACCGTAACGCCATAATTCCACCGTGCGCCTTAATCCCAAAGAGCCAATACAAAAGCTTTCGGGCTAATACCTCTGGCTGAGGAGGTTCCCAGGCGACCAGCTGCTGGAAGAGTATTCTTGAGGAAAAAAATTATTCGATGCGGACCTGTTCTTACACCCTTTTCCCAGGCACCTGCTGTTAACTGTTCAGGAGAGCGCCGGACTAAAACAACGTTCGGTTTCTCTCTGCGGGGCTGCTCCCCGGCTCTTGCTCTACGAAACTGTTCGACTAAGGGTTTTTACTACTTCTGCATGAGTGGCAAAGACATCTAAGGATGCTGGCTTGCACGACATGAAAAAACTGTACCTGTTACACTTGAGATGCATGCCACACCAGCTGTTACATCTGGAAAAGCTTGCCACAAGACATCGGTCTTGCATGAGGATGTCAGAAATACAAATGAGGGTAGCCTGGCTTTGTTTAAAACACTGAATAGAGTAGAAGGGGTATAGACAAACTGAGAAGGAGCCCGTCACATAGCTCACCACAGGAGAAAGGTTGAACATTACAAGTGTGGGGGGGAAAAAGGTCTCAATACAAGAAAAGGATAAAAGAGTGAAGCAATAAAGAATAAAAGGATGCACAGCTGATCACAAATAGGAGTGTGTATACCCTGGGACACCAACACTACTGAGTTGCCACCAGAAAGTTCTTAAAGAAGGGGGAATTAAAAAGCTCTTGAAAGACTATAATCCTTTCACAGTCAGGCTGGTATTTTAACACACTCCCCTGAAATTCATTCCTCTCAGTTTTATTCACTACTAACGAAGTCAGTACATGTGTGCCATGGGGCTATCACGTATTTGACGGTAACGCTTTGTCTGTGCATACAGTGGGAAGGTGGCAGAACCCACCCAGGCATCCAAGACCCTGGGTGGAGGGGATGATGTGAGACTAGATGAGTAGCCAACGTCACACGACTTACAGCAAGCGAATCAAAGATTTCTCTTTCATATCTACAAGAAATGTAAAAACTTGCAGTCGTGCTACAGGGACAAAATCCCAATCCACCTCCAAATTCACAACATAAAAGCACTGACTGAGCAGTTACTTACAACAAAGCTTCACAAATCTTGTCCCCTTTTTGTCCCATGGAGTCAAAGTATTTGATGGTCTTCTTTCGGACATCTATGACCTGTTATTAAAAGGTGACTGTTAGACAAAGCACAACCTTGTGCTGCACACACACCAAAACCCACATGACTTCTCTTGCTATTTTTTTTCTCCCCATCCAATTCTAAATAAAAAGCCAGTTTGACTTACCACTAGTGCCCAGTGCACTCTCAGGTGAATGGGCACTAAGATGAGGTCCTGCTTGAAGAGATCCACACCTCTGGTCCATCTTCTTACCGCTTTGTAGCCCTCAGAAATTAGTTTGGTATAAAAGAAAGTACTAAAAGCATGGACTGCTGGATACCCTTCCTTCTTATTTCTTTCCACCAGAAGACACATGTAGAAATTAATGACCTGCACCATAAAGAGTAAAATTGAGATGTGAACTTAAGACACTAGCTTACCAAAAGAAAAATCCAGCAACGTGTCTTTGCTGGCCACCCTTGAGTGCGCAGCTGAGAGGACTCCAGCCTCAGCTGTCGGCTTTTGTTCTGAGAATTTTGCACTTGGTTACTTCTGCAGTTTGATAAAAACACCTGAGTGGGTACTCCAGTAACCGAGACTAACTCTTGGAAGTTGCATCATACAAGCGGTAAGGTAACTTCCAGAAACACTAAACCTTTAAGTACTGATATTTCCAGGCTGTGCAGCGGGGGTCATCACATAACTTTGAAAAGACTGCTGTACGCAGTGAAGGGGTATTTTTAAATAAATGCTGAATTAGAATATGACGGTGCTGCAGCTAGTTTTACCTCATCATTTAGCCAGCGGAGGCTCCTCAGTGTGCGGATGTCCTCACGAGTGACCTTTAGTTTGAAGGCACTGCTCAGAACTTCCTCTGGATCACCTTTGCCGAGTGCCGCAACGACCTCTCTCTCCATGGCCTGAAATGAACAATTAAATGGGGATGGACTTGTGAAGCAGAGTATCGAGCACGCTCACCTGTGGGCAGCTTTCAGCTGAAACAAGGCCTGTAAGTTAAGCTCAGGTGACAGAGCAAGCGCCTTTGCCAGTTGGTTTTTTTTTTTTTTTGCTAAGTTAGCAATAGCACTTTTTTGTTGGTTTGTTTCAGCATCCTACATTTGAACTTTAGAGCCCAGGTTTGCTTCAGTTTTTTTGTTTTTTTTTTTTTTTTTTCCCCACGAGGAAGCTGATACAAGACACATGGACTAGCAAACACACCAATGCAGCTGAAAAATAAACAGAAATACAGCAAGCAACTTTCCCACTTGATGCTGCAGCCCTCGCAATACTGAGGTTTAAGCCAACAACACAAGGCATTCTCCACAGCGAGGCAGCTAAGTCAGGAGCCTGAAAGAAACTGAAGGCAGGGGACTTCAACGGGAACTGAAGTAAGAGCAGAGGGGGAAACTAAGGCAGCTACACTCTAAGTCAGGCAATCGGGAGTCCAGGTTGTGCATGCAACTGGTTGCAGTATGGATGTTTCCACCTAAGTCTGCTTAACGAACGCAAATAAAGCACTAGGCCTGTTAGGATAAAACACCCTGATCTGCAATAGCATCTCCTTCCTGGCTGAATCCGGGCTAGCAAAATAAGAAAAAATCACTTGGTTTTCCTTGTACTGAGCATGACTCTGCAGACTCTGTAAACTCCAGATTTGCTAGCCCTTTCCAAATCAATCCTCAATGGGCAAATAAGGCGGTGCTCGATTAGGTCAGCCCAACTGCAGCTCTGAAGAATAAAAGCAGCCAAAACTCATACAGGTAGGGGAACCTGAACTCCACTCCCTGCTGAACAGCACAACTAAGTTAACTCCTGTGACCACTGTTACCTGCAGTGCAACCATGCCCAGTGCACGTGCATGACTGAGATCCTGAGGACGCACCTAAGATGCTCAGGTCCCCCACAAGCAATGCAATGCTGTGGATCATCAAAAGCTTATTTTTCAGGCTCTATCACCATGGTAGGACAGGTTAAGAGGCAGAGCCAATATAACCGTGTGAATCAGGTTAGCACTGCTCTGGGAGACTGTTGTCGAACCTGGACTAATTTTTGTCCTGGTCGCAGAAGCCTCACAAACCCTTAGGTCAGCACAACTAAAGGAGCGTGTATAGCACAATAAATCCTTAAAACCAGCTTTATGGCTAACCCTTGCCCTGTGAAGTCACAGCTGCAGACACTCCGTAACAGGTTAAATGCAAGTTCTTAAGATTTCAAAAAGCCTTAAGAACCACCTATACTAAACAGAGTTCCTTGCAGCTGTTTCACAGCCTTCTGTTTTGTCAGCTATGGTACCTCTGTGAGTGGAGAAAAGCGTTCTACTGTTTTTTCTGAGCTTGGGAATTTCTTTTCTTCCACATCAAGGGCAGATGGTTTTTTGGACAGAACAGGTGCCAGATGCAATCGGAATAACAGGTCTTCTGAGATTTCAGATCCATGCTGCCTCTGTTAGACAAAAGGACATTTAGCTAGCAAGCAAGCACAGATTTGTTTGCTAAGGGATAGTGCAGAAAATCTTGCTCATGTATAAAACTGGAAGGTTTTTTCTACGTACACCCAACCAGCAAACGCCAAAGTTACTTTTCATTGATGACTGCGTTCCAACTGTGCACCCATGTAATGTTCCACTCAAAACTAAATGGAGGCATGAGGCGGAAAGTTAGTTTGGCTTGGTCTAGCATTAAGAACCCCAGCAAAACCTCGACGTGTAGGTATCGAGTTGAGATTGAGATTAATATTTCTGATTTACGTAATTACAATTTTTTGATCGACGTCCTGACCAGAGAGGAAAGTCAGAAAGATGTACTTCCTATCTCACAAAATAAGAGAAGACTAAAGATACCGCAGTCCAGCTTTGCAGGTGAGCTAAGTCTGTGCACTAAAGATTCTGAAGCAGTACCCAAAACATTAAAGGGGAAGAATAAAAATAGTGTCCAAAACCAAAATTAATGGCAGCGAGAAACCCTTTGCGATAGTGCTACTCATCAAGTAATGCTCCCACTTTCCCTCGGAAAAACAACTGGGACAAATACATTGCTTACTCAACGATATATGTAAGTGAAGAGTGTAAAAATTTCTGATCACAAACTGCTACGTTTTCCAGTAAAAAAAAAAAAAAAGTGAAATAATGAATTAAGACAAGCTTACCCCTGCAGTGGCTTGTTTCACTGGTCTTCCCTGTCCATGAGAGTTTTCTGCTGGTGCGTAGCACCTGCGAGAAGAGAGAGGGACAGAGAGTGAGAAGTGAGCTGTACATCAGTGCTGTTCCATGTAGTTCTCAAGAATTCACCTTCTGGATAAGAAATGCTTTTTCAAGGCTGATCCTGACTCGAGCCTCACTCGCACACATGAACATGTGGCAACATCATCTCAACTTCCAGCACCATTTTTTCAAAGCAGCAAGACTGGGACAGAATGAAGAGCTGGGAGCTTTGCAAACCTTCTTCCATCTACACGTGCAAGACTCCTTTTGTTTCTCTTTATTGGTTTAATTATTTGGAAAGCAGGAAAGCAACCAGCACTTCCTCTATCAAGTGCTTTGTGATCTACTGGTGATAAACACTGCATGCTAGGTGTTACACTGCGAGGTATAACATGAACATCTGCAACTACACCTGCATCCAAATATAGTTAGATTGAGGAAACTAAGATCAGCACACTGAATTAAAAATGGGACAGGTACAAGGTGTTTACTTGCCTTCTATAGGCTAGTCAAGAGAGTGACTATCCCCATTTGGAGAGGATTACCATTAAAACCACGCAGACTCTGAAGAGCAAACAAATACACAGACATTACAGTTGTCCATATACATACATCCCTCCTTCAAAAATAAGAATTTGCATTGTCACCACAAATCCCCCTTTCCAGGAGGCAGAACTACAACAGCCTCTCACGGCACTGTGCGCTCATTGTGCTTTAAAGCCTTTCAGTCCGGCACCGTAAGAGCAGGTATCACAAGCCTGGTCAAATGACTCCAGTTAGTGGTTAAACCTTCAAAAAAAGTCAATAAAATGTTCCTTTTACTTGAACCCATCCTACTCGATCAGTTATTTTGTTTCCTTCTCTCCCCTCAAGCTTAAAGGAACCAGTGACAATTTAAGCACAGGAACAGTGCTGCACAGCTAAATATAGCGCTAGTGTTTAAAGCGGGAAGAAGAATAGGGACAGAATTAGCTAAAAAACAGGACTGTCACAACAAAATCTCTGCCCCCATCCACGCTTCCTCCTTTTTCACTCAAGGGAAGGTCACTGCAGAAAGACACGTGCATCAGACTGCCAGACAAAATCTCTCCGTATAGCTGCACTTACTGCAACCAAAACCCCATTTCCCTCAACACCACACGGCCACCTGAACTCCTAGTCCTGCCAGCTCAGCCAGGCCACTACAAAGGAGCCCACCGGCCTCTCAAACAGGCAGACAACCCAACTGCATGCTTCCTTTTTGGTCTCATATTCAAAGCCAGGGCATCCCGTAAGTCACAAAAACCGCCTCAGTCCCACCAAGCTTTGCAAGCTCTCTAATCCTTATGCTTAGGATGCTAGTATCAAACATCAGCTCATTAACAGCAGAAAGATACTCAAAAGCAAAAATGGATTCTGCAGATCCAAGGACAGCTTGGTACAGCCATCACTCTCACGCTCACTGACTTTCTTCCTGCAGCAAAGGACCCAGAAAACACCACACCAGCACAACCCTTTGTCCCACAGCATGGCTCTAGCATGGGAGCTGTATTTGAGATGTAAGAGCCACAAGCTAGCTACTCCTCTTCTACAGCACTGAGACAATAAATATGGTTTGACTACTGGAGGCTGAAAGAGATGTGCACACAGAGCCAGAAGAAACAAGAAGCATGATTAAGAGACTCTACCTGGCCATATCGCTTCTCTGAGACCACTGTGGGCTGCAAACATCTGAACGTTTGGTACCTGCACAGAAAAGCAGTGACATGAACACAGGAAGTCAACCTTCAGTTACCATCAGATGTACACAGCTCTCACTTTCTGGGTGATAAATACAAAAAAAAAACCCTTTTAATGATGACTGTGTGGTTAGGAAGTTCAAACTCTGGCAAACAGTTTGAATATCGTGTGCGAGTGTATGAGAACTGAAGCAGGGCAGTTATTAAGTTTTAAATCCTAGATTGCACGCTTGGCTAAACAGCTGATTTTTCCAAAACCAGGTGCTCCTCCAAGCTCAGAAGAATAGCTTGTCATTTTTCCACGACAAAACAAGCTTTCCCCAAATTCTAGCACCTGCTCGGAAATAATTTCAAACCTCATATGACTGCATACTAAAGTCACGGTACGTAAAAAGAAGAGTGTTGATGAAAAATTATTTAAGTAATGAACAGGGGGAAAAAAAAAAAAAAGACTGGGACAATATTAAACGCATAAGCATGAACACATGGTATTAAAACACACGGCTGGTACAAAAGAAAATAGCTTGCCAGCAAACCAGTTTAACTAGCCTGCTATTGAGAAGACAGCTAAGGTCACCTCCAGTAGTTAGGTATCTTCAACTCACTGAAGGTGATCTCCAAAAGAGGTTAACCTGCTCTCAGCAGTGGTACTGTGCAGTTAGCTTACTTCGTTTTGAAGCTCTGCTATCATATAGAGTCATGTATAGCATTAAAAAGGGATGAAAGAGTAACACACAATGGCAACTCTGAGTTAAGTAACAGGTGCCTAAGGGTGCACGGTGATGTATCACCCTCCCCTAGTACCAAGAGCCAGATACTACAATGTTCTCCCATACAGTACAGTTACATCTGCAGCTACAAACATCACCTGTACAGTAATGTCTCTCAAGTACAATTTTAAACAAATTATTTCAGTTCAACAAAAACCTTACAAAGCCATTTCAGCCGTTACTTAGCCATGGTGTGGGGAAGCGGTACCCACTCTGGGTTTTCTTCCCCCCTTTCTTTCCAGAGACAGATCATCTCATTCCAAGAGCTCGCTTCAGTTATACCAGCATGAGCATGCTGGCTGATTTAGATTTCCTTATAAATAGACACAGATTAATGATACACTAGCACTGACAAATCTTTTTAGCATAATCTATACCTTAGAGACTTAAGGAAATGCCCTATTTTGATTTGAAGTCTACCTACAAAGTGGAACAGATATGAATCACAGGGATACTCACCAGTCCTTAGTCTCATACATGGATGGACTTCTCCACGTTTCTGTTCTTCCAGGTGACTCACAGTCCTCACTGGTTCCTTGGAGTGGGCTTGAACACTTTGGTGCAGCAAAAAACACCAGAGAAGAATCACAGCTTTTATATGTATGGTATTTGTTATCAGTGCATACCAATTCACTAGAAATGATGCAGTCAGAAGCCATAGTTAAAGCAATAGAAATATGTATAGTAAAACTAGGCTGTTTAATCCCTTGATAGAAACATCCCATCTCCTGCACTGGTTTCAGGATAAAATGCAAAGGGCATTTCCAGGTGGAGGCAGTTTACATTCAGAAGCTCAGCTACTTTCAACTCGGGCGTATTGAAGATATAGGAGTCAAATTTTCTGACTCTTCAGAATTTCAAAAGAGACTAATCAATCACGAAATTTTATTGCTTTACCATTGCACCAGCAAGCCAGGGGCTTTTTGGTGTTTTTCTTTTTGTTTGTTTGTTTGTGTTTGGTTTGGTTTTTTTTTCCTTAAAAAGTATTCGTTGCACATCCTACAAATATCTGGATTCATCTGAGGAGACCACTTTATTTTATGGGACAAGACAGCATTCATTACAACCATCCTTGACCAATTCTATTCATTCTATCCATTCAAGATTATGCTGATGCTGAGAATGCAATGTCCACAACACACATACTTCTGGGATGTTTTACTTCAGACCTGCTCTACTCTGACCTCGGGGACTAGATGCTTATTAGCAGCTGGAGTACATGAGACACACTCCACAGGAACACTCTCTGGTTTAGTTTCACCTGAAAGGAAACTGTTTCCCATGCTCCAGGTCTGCTCTGAGATATGAGCCAAACCACAATAATCAATGACTGGAAGACTAGATGCCAGAAGCAGAGTCCTGACCCACCCTAAAACGCTATTGCCAGGGCACCTAAAATTACATGAGATGCTGTTTTCCATATAATTTTCATGCCCCAGAATGTTTAAACATGGTACACTGTTCTGAAGTCATGTGTTTACATGTTTTCTAGCTGTGAATTACCAAGCAGAGATAGGGATCTTTCTAAGACTTGGTAACAACCCACGTTTCACACCATTTTAAGGAAACTGCAAGAAAGCAATGGCATTTTCTACCGTCTTACTGTGTAGAACGGCATGCTGGAACTTCAGCACCATCTTGGCATCACCATTCTGCAAGAATTAGGCCCCTTCTGCACAGCTTTGAAGTGTAATTATTCCACTAAGATAATGGCTTCTATTATTTTTGTGTTTTTCACTTGTGTCGTTAACTTCACGCCATCTCCTGACGTGAGGTATCGAATATGCTCATCACTGGTAATATATGAATCAGAATTACACACAAGTTCCCCTTTGCAGGTTGTTTTTGGAACTGGAATTCTACACACGAGTGCAATTTTGTCAACTTAGTGTACTGCAAAGAGAAGAGCTCCGATAATTTGTGCCAGAAGAACTGGGGGAGGTGGAAAGGAACAGAGAAAATTCTGGCATTCTCTGTGTTTACCGTAACTTTCACATTCTCAGATAAAACAGGACTCCTGACCAAGGAAAAACTCATCAGTTGCAAACAAGAGAAAGATAAATCCTTTTTGGTGGTGCTGCAGAATAACCAGCGCTGTGGTTTTTTATACTAGAAGCTAGGCTGCCAAGCACTAGAACTAGATACTACTAGATACTAACACAGAGGCAAGAAAGAAGTATCAGAAAGAGAAACACATCCCGATCAACAAAGGAATCTTCACCATTAGAATGTACTTTCAGATAATATTCCTGCTTCATTGCAGGGAGCTGCAGGGGGGGTGTTAGTCTTTTAAAAATTAGTTTGCCCAACCCCTGCCCAGGGACACTGCCCAGAAAGACTAATTCCCCTCCACTTCTAGGTACAACAGCTACAAAGTTACCACAAAAAAAGCTACTGGTTATTTTTCCTATAATTACTTGCAGAAGCTTGTCAGCTGTGGATTAGGGCAGCTTCTCGGATGCTTCTCCTTCACCAGTTGCAAGAGCTGTTTGTATTTCGCCTTTTCTCCTCGCTGAACATCCTAGTAGAATGGAGGGAAAAACCAAACAGATTAGAACCACTGCATACGAAGCAAATGTTTGTAATCTGGACATAGCACAGACTGCACGGGCTGTTTCCAAAATACTGGCATATTGTTCAAGTTTACTTTAGCAGGAACTCCCACACCTTCATTCTGTGTTAGCCCTGCTCTAGGAACTCGTATTCCACTATAAACCTCGAAATTCCTTCTGCAACCGTTTCCTCAAATGGGGGCCTCTTCAGCTCTGGTCTGCAACTCTTGCATAATAATTCAGCCTAATATGCATTCCTGTCAATATACATAATGATTGGGTGCTGTGAGTCCCCAGCGTATCTTAACCAGACTCCACAGCTTGCCATGGCCTGCTTCTCCCAGTACTTCGGTGTAAGTCCTTCTCCCATGTAAGCTAGGTTTATCGGGAATTTCCCAATTGTTGCTGCTTCAGATATTGGACAGAAAGGACAGGGAAAGACCTCTCAAATAGTCCTGTAATGAAGGATTATCAGCAACTGAGTGGTTGCTTTGCCTACATTACCCTTTTAAAGTTGCTATGTAAAGATCACAGTTGAGCTAGGTTAAGGACAAAATAGTGAAACAACTCCGCAAGAAACAGACACTTAGTGAGAAGGCAGTACAGCTCCACTTACAAGCGAAACTGGCTGGAGGGTCCTCCCCCAGTACACCATTTCCACGAAAATGGTTCAAAATTCAATCTTTTGGCAACAAAGTACTGCTCTGTTCCAAGACTTGATAAATGTAAAGGCAAAGAAAATGTTGTCTGCTGATTTTCCAGAAGCATTCCTCCAACTTCATCAACTACACTCCCTGTGCTGTCACAAACTGCCACTTCAGTGTTTACGTACGGTTTTGTTATAACTGCTAAGTTGTTTCGTTTCAAAAGATGCCCTTTTCCCCCAGCATACCTCTTCAGCAGTACAGAAGAGCCTCCCCATTTTGCCGGCTTCTGCAGGCGTGGGTTCTGGCACAGCGCGCTCTTTAATGGGTGGCCTCTGTGTTAAGATGCTGTCTGAAGCAGGTTTGACGTGGCATTTGCCATTCCTGCTTGTGCTACAAACATCAACAGCAAAAGAAATAATGTTGAGAACATTCAAATATGCACCTTCACCACCCTTTTGTAAAGCATGTACACCGACGACGATGGAGACGGACATGAGGTATTTAGCCCTGTCAGGTGAAGATCTGCTGTCTTCAACTGGCTAATGGGAAAGTGCGGAGAAGTAGAAGTGAAAAATCAGAGCAACTGCCTTGAATACACACTGTTGTTCGATTTGCACATCGCAACTGCATTCAGAGGCACATGTTACAGCCACGGCAGCCCAAGCCCTGAGTCAATACAGAAGGCTGAAGAACCATGCAGGTGTGCTATTCGCACCGACCCCCGGCTCTTCTAAAAGCTAGTGCGCTGGCTCCAAAGTGTAGCCGCTGCTTTCCTCCCAAAATCATTCTGGCAGACATCTCTGGAGATCAGCTGGGCCCAATCCCTGCTCAAGCAAGGTCACCCACAGCAGGTTGCCCAGGACTCTGTCCCCTCTGGTTTTCAAGCATCTTCAAGGACAGAGATTCCACAACCTCTCTGGGCAACCTGTGCCAACTATCTGGCCACCCTCGGAGTAAAAAAGTGTTTCCTGATGTTCACATGGAGTTTTCTGGTTTTCAGTTTGCGTCCATTGCCTCTTGTCCTGTCAGTGGGCACCACTGAGAAAAGTCTAGCTCCCTCCTCTTCATTCCCTCCCCTTAGATGACTATATACATTGATGAGAACCCTCTCAGCCTTCTCTCCTCCAGGCTGAAGAGTCCCAGCTCTCTCAGCCTCTCCTCGATGAAAGGTGTTCCGCTCCCTCAATCATCTTTGTGGCTCTTTCGTTACTGGACTCGCTCCAGTAAGTCCACATCTTCCTTGTGCAGGGGAGCCCAGCACTGGACACAGCACGCCAAAGGTGGCCCAAGTAGAAAGGAAGGATGACCAAACTCGACCAGCTGGCAACGCTGTTCCTAACACAGCCCAGGATGCTGTTGGCCTTTGCCATGAGGATGTATCACCGGTTCATGGTCAGCTTGTTATCCACCAGGACCTCCTCCTCTGCTTTCCAGCTGCTCAGCCCCCAGTATGTCCTGCTGCATGGAATTGTTCCTTCTCATGTGCAGGGCTTTGTAATTCTGCTCGTTGAACTTCCTGAACCATGCCCAGTTCTCCAGCCTGCCCAGGTCCCTCTGGATGGGCAGCACGGCCATCGGGTGCATCAGCCACTCCTCCCAGCTCTGTATCACCTGTGAACTCGCTGAGGGTGGGCTCTGCCCCCTCATCCAGGTCATTAATGAAGAGGTTAAAGAGTGCTGGCCCCAGTACTGATCCCTGGGGTACACCACTAGTGACTGGCCTCCAACTGGGCTCTGTAACTCTGCCACCACGGTACCTCCAAGCTGCGGTACGCACGAGAAGACCAATCCAATTTTGAGACTGGAAGGCAAATAGTAGCATCAAATCACATCATGACCCATTCCTTCCTTCTTCCAATTATTCCTGACTCTGAGGTAAGTGTACAAACAGTGCCTCAGCATCCCCTAAGCAATAATTCAAAGCAAATGCAATGTAAAGGCCAGTCCTTTTATCAAATATTTTATGCCAAAGAGCATAGAGGTTTTTTTGAGGGAAGGTTTTTGTTGTTTTTCTTTTTTGTTGTTGTTGTTTTGTTTGTTTGTTTGTTTTAAATAATAACTTATTTTTTCCTGTCAAAATAACTATTTAGGACCTTTTCACAAGCATTCCTGACCTCAGTCTCTTCTCAAGTTCAACACTTCCTCCTACCACAGACCTTTAATCTTTATTTAATCTTCCGTGTTTATGAAATATCTGGATTTAAAGAAAAAGTTTAAAGTCAGTTGGAGGAAAAAAGCCAAACAGCTGGAGACCTCCCTTAGTATAGCAGCCTGGAGGAATTCCAGAATACCTTGGAAAAATACCGCTGTGTGGACAGAAATACAAATGTTAGGGAACACAGAGGAAGTTCAAGCATGAACATGAGACAGCAAACTCTTCAGAGAAGCCAAAGAAAATGGAAGGATTTTTACCTCTGACATGGAATTTTCTTGTGAGGAAGGGATAGTGTTTCCTTATTCAAGCAAGTACTGGTTCCACAAGTCATCTTATCTATGAGAGAAGAGCGTAAGCCATCAGTAACTATAAAAGGAAACTGAAGAGTTTTATGAGTTTACAGTAAAGAGCTTCACCAAAGAGAAATTATTTTCATTTTCTCTCTTACATCATAATATTACTTGTGTTATGTTACTTTAGGATATTTTCAGATTTTCATATTGGCAACTACAGAAAGCCGTGCACACAAGGTATTGCCAGCCTAAACCTGAAATAAAAAGGGGTTATCAGGATCTACTACCTAAAATTACCATTTAAAACAATTTACTTCTGGCAAGCCAATAGTGGACATAGCAGAACTGAAGGACTGCATCGAAGGCAGCTCTTGTGTTGAGATGACAGGATAAATGCCCGACCCCAATCCAGAAGCAATGACAAGATGCAGGGAAGGAACAGAGTTCTAACTCAAGTATTCCTAGATGCTACCTAGGTATTGTGCCTGCAATAATCTGGATGTAAGCCTAAGGGTAAAGTTGCACAGTACACACAGTGGGGTGAAAAAGAAACTAGTTAATAACTTGATTTCTGCCTTACCAATTTGTAGCATTTCTATCGCGGAACCTCTTGGTCTTTTAGATGAAAGGTTAGAAGTGTATTGAGTCTTAAATAAAAACAAAAAAAGTAACAATGTGAGTATAACCTGAATGTGAATCCAAGCAAACACAAATTTCCTGAAATTTCGTCAGCTCTATTATGACTCAAGGACCTTGACTTGCTGCTTCAGATTGCACCACAGTGCAAATCTTTGCAGGATTTCTGACAAGTACACTTTAATTTTTTTTTATTACAGGCTCTCATATGTGCAGTGATTAAAACAATACAGGCTTATCACTGGGTTTTCCTCAGTCAGCTCCTAAACATTCCAAGGGATGATAGTTCAGCCCTTGAAAAATGTATTTTGTACAAATAAGAGGAATGTTCTCAGGAACAAATAATAGAGCACGACAGTTTCTTACTCCTCTTATCATATGGGGCAATAAGAAAAATAACACTACAACTTCAAACCAAACTAGGGAGTCGAACAGTTCATGACTCATTTTTACAGAGCCAAAATTCTACAGGAATCCTCTCCTGGACTGGCGGATACTAAACCTAGCAGAAGGAGGTTTATCCAGAGGAATTATACAGTTCTTCTTGCAAGGTAATGTGTTTTGACTCCCTGACTACAAGCTTGATTGAGAAAAAGAGTAACAGTTTACAAACACACTAAAGCTACAAACTTGAACAATTGAAAAGTATCTGGAAGACAACAAACATTTTGCTCCTTCCTCGGCTTCAAGTGCTACTGCAGACCACGCAAACTTGGAGTAAGGCAAACCCAGCACACAGGAGCTGCCTGCTAGAAATGGCAAAGGTCCACCTCCCGCTGTACAGGCTCAGAGCAGGCCCAACTTCAAGATGCTTTAGGGAGAGCTGCTTCCTCTTTCATCTTGCACAGATCCCACCTAGTCTCAAAATCCTTGCTCACCTCTTCTGCAGGCTCTGCGATTGGAGCGGCATGGCTGACTGAAGCCTTCTGGCGTTCACTTGTTGCCTTGGCTGGCAACTTCACCTCAGCAGAAGCTTTCTCTTTACGCCCAGAGATGGCGTAATCTAAAAAAACAAAGACAGACCGTATAAGAACATGATTTAAAAGGGAATTAGGATTTCTATTTGCATTACAGCCCATCTCCTTAATCCCACCTAAAGCAGGCTAACTCATTTCAAGTTACACACCCTTCTGCTAACAGCAGTTGGGGGTGATTTTTGTATTAGTTGGCTCATTGAGCGGTGCTTCAGAGCCGAAGCTCAAAGACTAACTCATGAGTCTGCCAGCCAGATCTGCAAAACCACCCTGCTTTTGGGAACATTCCCTGCTTCTGGAGAGGCAGCACAGGGTGCAAATTATCCTCCTCATCCCCTCCACACAGGCATGTACTCTTGCAGTTTATTAGGAGTCACCCTCGTCTAGTTGAGAGAAGCCATTCACTGAGGTCTAGAGCTACGTGAGCCTGTTCTTTTCAGTGTTAAAGCAGCAGAGACATGCAATCCCTCAGAGAGCATTTCCAAACATCAACAAGCCAGGGCTGCCTAGTAAGGGGCTATGTTAGAGACCAAATCATATTAGACAACAGCATTTGTTTGATGATAAGAGAATGGCGTTTTAGCAGACGAGGGCATAGATGGTACTACGCTCTTAGGAGCAGATTTGGCCTCCTTACTAAGACGTGTGAACCGTTTCTACCAAGAGTTGGTCATGTTGCTAAAAGGAGGAGGGACAGGGGAGCAAGATATCAATTTAATGTATTTTTCAATTGTTTTATGCTCTTAAGCCCAAAAAGCATGCTAACAGTTCAGCAGCACCAACCATTAACTAAGGGGAGGTATCATTTGCCAAGCAGTAAACTAGGGAGCTCCACATCTCCCCTTAGAAACGTCCATCTCAAATCATGGCCAACGCAGCTGGCATCCAGAGGCACTGACACGGCTGCAGGCAGCTGCATAATTCTACCCTTACACACTGTGTGGAGGGGGTATCGGAGAAAGCCTCACTGAAGAGAGCACTTCTCTACCCTGCTGCTCTCTCCTATGTCTGGCCACTGGTGCATCTCCATCTTTGCAAAACGCACAAGCCAAAACTGTCAGATTCAGACTAAACTGACTCTTCTGTTTTCAATTCAGCTTTTTTTTCCCCTCCGTCACCAAACTCATTAGCTCACAGAAATACCGTTTTTCTCTGCCAGCCATCAAATTGAAGTTACCTCCCTTCACACCCCAGATTCTATGTGATTTCTCGACATACAGGTATTTTGAACTGACAGAGGTACCCTGTGAATAGAGACAGGAGGGAGCAGACAGCTTTGATTTAAAATACTCTTTCTGCTGACATGCATGGGCTCAATGCCAGAGAGACCTGGGATATCTCCTGCTGGCGGTAAAAGTCCTGTGCCCTGCCACAGTCAAAGCAGATAACATCATACAGAGGGCTAGGCCCTATGACACACCCTAAAGCCACTGGCTCTGCAGAGGGCCACAAGGAAAGAATGGCTTGAAAAGCCACAATTTCAGTGACAATGCTGAAGCACAAAAGCCAGAATTTTCTAAGGTACATGAAACCTAAGAAAAATCAGGCACATTAAATACTTCTGTAACGTGCAATACCTGATTTTTGCTTTTTTGTTCGGGTCTGGTCAGGATCTTCCACAGGTGGCTGGATGCTGGGGAAAAAAACACAAAGAAGAGTGTTTTGCACCCACAGGTAAACTGCGAACAGGCAGACTTCCCTTCACAGGGCTCAAACTTCCAAAGTTAGTTCTCGTATCCCGAAAGTCTCCCCGTTCCATCTCAGACACACACATACACACACCCCCAACCACTACTGCTGCGCACCTCTCATCAACACCCCCCACCCCTCCCAGTCAACAGGCTGCTCGCAGAGAGCTAATTATCCCACTAAAGCACATCAGGCCTCTTTTCCTCATTCTGTTAATGCTTCCCAACGTTTTACATTTGGTGCCATCACCAAAAAAAAAATAATTAATACGTACAGTTTTCCTCTTTCCTCAAGGAAAGCAGCATTCCACAGATTAATAAACCACCTAAGTTTGTAAATCACTAGTCTGAGTTGCAAAGAAAAGTCTAAGTAGGACAGGAAATAAAAGGTGGGAAAGCAACTCACGCATACACCCACTTAAATAACTTACTGCTAAATCAGCGCTCGTGAACTAGTTCTTGAAATAATTCTTAGCTGCACCCTTTCTTACGAAGCATAAGACCAAGTATTATATCAGTTAATACAATGGTAAAGTCTCGCAAAAATTTTTACTTTGGGAACAGAATGCCAAGGTTGTTCCTAATTATTTTTTTCTATTTGCCTCCAAAAATGCCATAACAGACAGCAAGGGTTCTTTGAAGAATTCTTTGGCCTTTCTTATACAAAATAATTTCTTTTAAACTGTTATGCTCTCAAAGACTGCTGGTATCACTGCTTCTGGACTATCATCAGTTTGCATCAGGAGCACAAAAAGTAACTGGTATCTTTAACGGTACCTTTCACACAATATAAAGAATATTTGCTATTACTATGCTATCCAAGTCAGGCAGAAAATATTGCGGGGTAGCTGTTAAATGCAAGTCTATTCCTATAAAAATGTATTCTTACTCAGCATATTTGCTATTTCAGAAGGTAAAACTGAAGAAGGCAAAATATTTGTATCCTGCTGCTCAGTTTTTAGCAAGAGCTAACTCGTTCTGAGCTGCTCTTCTGTGAAAACTTTGCAGCATCAGTCTTCTGCAGGGATAAAGCACAATTCAACCTCCTCCAGGCTACGTTCTGAGATAAGCACAGTTTAAATACCTGACTGCGGTTACAATAACCGTTTTGGAACCGAAGTGCCTCTTTCTTCAGCTTTAGCAGAGCACCCAATACCTGTGAGAGTGTCATTTTGTCCTTTTTTACTTTATCAAGCACTTGGAGGTTCAGGGTTAATTTGTTCACAAGAAAAGATGAATTCGCTCTTGGTAATTCAGAAATAAGTTGGGAAATCTTTGACGTTCTGAAGTAGGCATGGCCAGGGAACACGGATGGGCAAAAGGCAAAGAAAAAAACAAATCTGTGCTCAGCTACCTCTGTCTCCGAGGTGAATGCACAACCCTGTGAAAAGGTTAAACTGTGTCACTGCAACTGGGGTTTTGCCAAGAGCCTGGGAGAAACAGGTAAGCAGTAATATTTGAAACATGCTGAAAAAATGGGACAGAAAATAAAAGCGTAATTGGAGACTGCTCTCCATGTAAAGATGCATTCATGTCCTCCTCCACGCTCTAGAGGAGACAGCACCTATTTATGCCCAGCATTTTACTTGCCTCCTTAGCAACTACAGGAAAAAAATATAAGGTATTAGGAAAACTCAGTAACTCTGGATACACCCATATACACTCAGGCTCTGTACTACTCAAAACTTCCTCCCCCACCAGTGTTGAGGACAGTCCATTAAGATTCATAACATAAATTTGTAAAAAATTCAAGTCTTCACAGGTTAACACACACACACACACCCCAAAAATAATTTCACGCTGTGCCTCAGTGGTGCAGTCCAACAGCAGCTAATGCTTATCGACTTTCCTCAACAGTTTCACCACCTCTGCCTGTAATTTTTCATCTTTCTACCATGGGAAAACCTCAAGTGGCATCAACAACCACCACCCCGTGGTTTAGATTTCTTTGAAGAGACTCACACAGGGGAGCTGGCAGCATCTTTGCCGTTTCACAGCATAGCTGAAAGACCACTGTTGGAAAAATTTCCACAGGGCAGCCTCTGAAGTCCCCTAACGCAGTTTCACTTGAATTTCACCCCCAGTTGCTTCGCCCGTCATCGCCAGCGATCTCTCAGCAAAACCGGGTCTCCTGGTCAGACCACGACGTGACAGCCAGCAGCATCTACAAAGACGCTGCGTTCAGCATGGGATTGTGCTCTGCTCAGCAGCTGCGAACCACTACTTGTGCAACAACTGGCCCTTTCCAGAAGACGCTGGCTTATTCCCATTCACTCTGGAACACGAGACACTAAGCAGAGCCTCCAGGAGCAAGAGTTTCTCCCAGAGGGAGCAACCACAGTCCCCAAAACATAACGTGTAATCCATACATCGCTCTCTCTCTTCAGGGAGATGGAAGAAGCAGGCACGGAGGCGGCTTGGCCATCTGTCACCGGGAGCTCTGGGGCATCAGTTAACGCCTGGGAGGGCATCCCCCTTTTTTCCACTCCACGTACACACCACAACCCCGTGCCACGACTTTTCTCCATCCAATACATCCCTATAGGTACATATACTGTTCTCTGCTCCTTCAATATATGCACTGCAAGCCTCCACCCCTTATTTTTCAAACCCCCGCTGTGCGGATGGAAAGCGGTTGGGGGGGCGGGGGGGGGGGATGAGGTTTGCCAGCGTACTTCTCGAGCGCATCTGGGACCCACAATCATCTCAGAGTCGCAACAGTGACCGTGGGCGCGGGGTGACCCGACAGCGGCCCGAGCTGCGGCCGGGCGGGGAGAGAAGCAGCCCCGGTTCGCTTCCCCCGCTGCCGTGCCAGGGTGGGGAAAAGCGGGGGAACCTCCGGGGAGCCCCGGCGGCGGGGCAGCCGCAGCGAGGGGTACACCCTGAGGGGGAAATCGGCCTCCACCCCCCCCACCCCCCCCCCCTCAGGGCGGGGAGCGGCCGGCTGAGGCGGCGGGCGGGCGGGCTCCGGTGTGTGTGGGGGGGGGGGGGGGGGGGGAGGTCCCGCAGGCCCCACCCCGGGGTGGGGGGGCGCTGGTGGCGGGGCGAGGCCCTCTGGAGCGGCTCGCTGACCTGGGGGGCGGCCTCTTGCGCGGCGGCGGGGCCGGGGCCGGCGGGGGGCGGCGAGCGGCGGCGAGGAGGGCGCCGAGGGCCCCCAGCAGCCATTGGTACATAGGCCCCGGCCGCCAACGGCGGCGGCGGAGGAAGTGCGCCCGGCCCCGCGCGGACGGGGCCAACCGGCTATTGGCTCCAGCCGCCGTCCCGCCGATGGAGGGGGCGGGGTGGGGAGGGGCGTTGGGGGGGGGGGGGGGGGGAAAGAACAAGGTCCCGCCTCCCCGGGGGGGGGGGGGGGCAGCGGGTGTGCGCAGACGCAGTGCCGCCCTGCCGCCCTGCCGCCCTGCCGCCGCCGGGGCGGGCTCCCCTCACGGCGCTTCACGCCCCTCACGGCGCTTCACGCCCCTCACGGCGCTTCACGCCCCTCACGGCGCTTCACGCCCCTCACGGCGCTTCACGCCCCTCACGGCGCTTCACGCCCCTCACGGCGCTTCACGCCCCTCAGGGAGGAGGAGAGGGCGGGCGCCCTCCGCCCTCTCCCCGCCCACGCAAACCCCGAGGGTCTTACCGAGCGCAGCCCCGCTTTAGCGACCAAGGGTTTGCGCTTTTGCGCTTAACGGCTCCCGCCGACCTGCGGGCCATGGCGTTGGCGCGGCGGGCCGGGGGCGGTGAGGGGGGTTCCACCGCTGCGACCGCGGTAGCCCCTGACAACCGCGGGCCGCCTCGCCGCGTTCCACCGGGAGCTGAGCGGTTACGCGGCGGCGCTTTTGGCCGCGGGCTGGGCGCCGTGGGCAGCCCGGCAGAGGGCACGGCAGCCCCACGCACGGCCTGCCCCGCCGCCTTCGCCCCTTTTTTTTTTTTTTTCTTTCCCCCCGTGTTCCCGCTGAATCTCGCAGCCGGGAGCTGGAGGGGGGGGGGGTGCAGCGGTTTGTTTTGAATCCCCGCGTGAAGGGAAAGGGGTGGCTTTTTTTTTTTTTTTATCCTCAGTTTTAGCCCCGCAAAGCCAACGCTCGGCTGTGTCACTCCTGTTTCCACCCACGGCCGCAGCAGCGGAGAGACAAGCCAGGGTGCTGAACCCGCCGGACATCATCCCACAAACTAGGAAAAAAAGGAGGAAGGCTGGCTGGCCCTTTGGGGAAGGGGTCTTCTGGGCCTGCAGGCAGCACCCCCAGCTGCGATTTCCTCCCCTGGGCAGCACGACCCACTGCAGGGTTCAGGAAAAACGGCAGAAACCTCAGAAGAATTGCGTTTGCTATTTCGAACAAGCTCCCCTGTGCCTCCCAATAACACCACTTCCTTACCCTCACCAGGACAGTGTAAGAAGAGAGGTTTTAATGCCGTTAAATTATTTTTAAAACGTCTGTGTGAATGGCTGTGTGTCTGCCGGAAAAGTACCTGGCTGTGCCCACAGCGTCAGTGCAACCGCTGCTCCTCCGACCTCCGTAAAAGCTGGGCAGCCCAAAGGGTTTGTCCCAGACGCAGGACAGTTAACATGACATTACATGATCTGTTTTTTTTTTTGTTTGTTTGGTTTGGTTTTGTTTTGTTTTACATGGCATTTGGTATGAAGACCTGAGACCCCTAAAACCTCAATAACCAAATACATGAAGAAGTTAAAATTTCATTAAATTAATGCCACCACACTTGAGCAATCTTTTTTCTTGTAGCATTTTTTTTTTCGCTCATGTATATGGCAAAAATCTTTTTTTTTTTTTTTTTCCTAAAGGCAAATACAGATGTGAGAGAGACTGTATGTTGTTAATCCTGGCGTGTCTTTACAGTGCAGTTTTACATCGGTTACATTTCTCAATCCCTGTAATTTATGCAGCTGATGGTTAACTTCATGACTTAATTCTTTACTATGCCTTTGAGCTTCTTGCTCAGTACATCGTTGTGCGATGACTCAAAATTATGACATCTGGTGCATCTAAACCAGAATCCTGTTACCGGCCATTTAAATACACATGGGTTACCTGTCTCCCATCTCTGATCTGATAGTGCAGATAATTTCAGAATCTGGGCTCAGCAATCGTGCGTTACCCAAAGTCTTTACCTTTAGATAAGCTTCAGTGTGACAGCAATGTTGTCTACATACCTGGACGCCAAAGGAATATACATCAAATCAGGGGGATAACAATTCCACTGAATAATTAATTTGGGGGCTGGATTGGTAATTCTAGGTATATACTTGATTTGGGGTACATTAAGCAGAAAATACTTAATCTGTCATTTAAATCTGTTTTCCATGTTTTCGGGATGATGTACGGGTGACATCGCTCGTTGCCTAATCTTGGCGATTCTTTGCCCTGGGTATCATCTCACTAAATACGATTCCATTTCTCAGCGTCGCTGCCTTATGACTCGAGTGTGTTTAGCCGGGCAGCCCATTTTGTACAGTCACTCTCTATCAAGCGGGATCGCGTGTGACAGCAAAAGCGGTTGGAAAAAATAGCTTCTCTTTCACCCCGGATCGCTCCGAGGCTGACACTTGCTCGCTCTTCTCCACTGCCCCAATTCAGCAAGGTTACGCGTTACAGTGCAGTGCCTGTAGTTAAGGTGCATTTATAATACTGGTTCACATCGGTCGCATTTTTCGTTCCCTGTAATTTACATAGCTGAAGGTTAAGTTCACGGCTTCGCTGTGTATTATCCCTTTCAGTTTCCTGCTCGGGACGGGAACGGCTCCAAGCCCATCTCTGCCCAGCAGCCCGTTTAAGCCTCTGTTTGTGGTGGAGATGGTAGCTGGTGGGGCGGATTCCACCCAAGTGCCTGTGCCTCCAGCATGCCTGGCCGGGTAACCTCGTGCGCGCGCGAGCGCGGTGCCTAACAGCCCACCGCGGGAGCAGAGATGACTTTCCTTTGAGGAGCTCGCCGTTTGTCCCCGCTTCCCACCCTAAAACGGCCGCTCCGGGAGGCAGAGTCCTCCCCCCGGCCCAAGCGCCAGCCTGGGCAGTCTTACTCAGGGTGTAAAGTCGCAGAGCATGAACTCAACCCCCGTGCGAGCTGAGGAAGGCAGATCTGAATTGACGCGTCTTTTCGCCTGCCCGCTGACACCTCCCAGGCATCCCTCCATCCCCGCGGATGTCATTTGTCGTTCGGCCCGGAAGGGACGCCGCCATCACCACCACTTCGGGGGACCGAGGAGGACTCCGGAGCGCAGGGCAAGGGTCCCTCAGGGGGGCTCGCCTGGAGGCGGCACGTCAACCCGCCGAACCCCGGCAGCGCGGCGTCCGCTCTCGGCTCTCCACCGTCCTCCTCCTGGGGTGACGCTGCTCGTAGCGAGGCAGGATCCGCGCCCTGAGACGCCGCGCTCCCCGCCCGAGCCCAGCGAGCCGGACCCTGGCCCCCGGGGCCCACGCATCGAGGGGAGATCGGCGTGCTGTCCCCGGTGGGTGCCCACTGAACACAGCTGGTGCTGTGGTGGCCGTAGGACCTTGTCGCTTCCATCCCGCCGCGCCTCGGGGGTGAGTGGCTCACGTTGCCGGAGGGAGGCAGAAGGGGAAGGTGAGGGATGGGACGGCGACTTAAAGGAAGGCAAGGCAGGGCAGAGGGCACCTGAAGCGCCCTAACCAGGTCTCCCGACCTCCTTTTGAGGTCAGGATGGGAAGTCCAACCTGCCCTAATGCTTCCCTACCTCCCACCCCCCCAGGAAGAGGGCCCTGGGGGGGATGCCCAGCTTGGGCACGCTGCCGCTGCCGGCCTCTCAGAGAGCCCAGAGGCCTCTCCGCTCTGAACTGGTTTTGGAAAAGGGTTGCAAACCGAGACCTTGGAAAATCTTGGTGTGAAGACAGAGGGCTTAGCCGAGGCCTCCAGCCTGCCCGGCGGCTGCCGTGGGTGATAGAAGCGGTCCCCCTGACACCAGGGCCCCTGACTGTGGTGCTCCCAGCCTTTATCCCCGATCCTCTCTAGCGCAAGCGAGCAATTATACTTGACCACTTTGCTTCCTGGACCCACCACTCTTTATCGCATTTCTTCAGCGGCTGCTGGATTCATGGGCCCTCTGATCCCTGCACGGAGCTGGCCCGAGCAGTGTGCGTGGTGTCCACCTCCCTCGGGATGGTTCCTTGGCTGCACAGCGTGACTTTATTTACCTTTTCCTAACAAGATGGGGCTGCCACTAGTGGGCCAGGTGCTGCTGTCATGCGGCAAGCTGTGTCACCCATCTGTGGTTGAGGGCAAACAAAAATATCGTGGCGCAGAAAACAACACCAGTGATGATGACTCATGTCCTTGCGATGCCACATTAAACTCCCTAGACACAGCCAGCTTTTTGTTGGTTTTTTTGTTTGTTTGTTTTGTTTTGTTTTTTTTTAAGCAGACTCTGAACTCCGTGGATGCAAATTGCCAAGCTAGAAGCCTCGGAGGGCTCGCAAAAGCCCCGGAAAGGGAAGATGCTGGCAGGCTTCTGGGAAGGCTCAGCACGGCCGTGGCCACGTTAGGAGGATGCTGCTGACAGAGCTGACGTGGGAGCAGGGTTAACCTCGGCTCTCCACAGAAGGGCACAGGCGCTGACACATACAATCCCAGAAGAAATGCAGAGCCACGTGTTAAAGCCAATCCTATTCACTGGGAGAAAACCAGTTTCTGAAGGATGCATTGATGTCGCAACCGTGAGCTAGCTGTTAAAAGGTCTCCTGGAGTGGTGGTGAGCAGAGGCAGGAAAGAGAGGAGGACCACAAAGATTCTGCTCGCAGTAATGATATGATGTACCGAGGTGCAAACTCGTAATGATTCGAGTCACGCTCCCGCATCTGGATCCCGTGGAGCATCTCCACTGCCACAGGGAGCTCTGTGAAAGCTCGGGCTGCAGGAGGGGAGCTGGGGTGAGCTTTTGGGGCAGGCAGCCCCAGTCGTGCCTGAGCATGAGCTGCAATTCGGGATAAACGCCCAGGGCAATCTGCATCTTCTTAGTGCGTGGCAGGTGACTTGTTGAGTGTGTAAATGAGGATTTTATTCCAGGATAATTAGTGCATTCAGCTCTGGGGCCCCCAGCGCAAGACAGACGTGGACCTGTTAGGGCGGGTCTAGAGGAGGGCCACAAAAATGATCCAAGGGCTGGAACACCTCTCCTGTGAGGACAGGCTGAGAGAGGGGGTTCAGTCTGGAGAAGAAAAGGCTCTGGGGAGACCTTATTGCAGCCTTTCAGTATATAAATGGGGCTTATAGAAAGA